ATCCGATGCGGGTATCAGATAAAAATATCTGATACAAATATCAGATAAAAATATCCGATACAAATATCAGATAAAAATATCTGATACAAATATCAGATAAAAGTATCTGATGCCAGTATCAGATAAAAATATCTGATACTAGTATCAGATAAAAAGTAGTAGGAAGGTCATGACCAACTACTGACCCATTTGTATCAGATACAAAAGTATCAGATAAAAGTATCAGATACAAAAAAGTACCCGTATCAGTTGTATCTAGATACAAAAATTTTAGTATCAACCCATCCCTAGTCCTCTTCCCCATCTTTTGCCAGCTACCTGATCGGACCTTTTCTTCTTTTCGATTGTTTATCGATGTGAGATTTTCCAATGAGCAATTTGTCCACTGCACAATTGAATACAATTCACAGTGCAACCTCACATTCCTATATATTATATATTCCTTCTCATTCCCTCACACAATGTCGTCTAAAGGAGTAAATACAGGGGGATGTCTACTACAATATAGTTCAATTATTTATTTGATTGTAATGAGTAGTTAAGTGCCACGAAATATTTTTAATCTGGTAAGAATGCCATTGATAAAAAAGGCCGTTATATTTCATTGTAGGTATTTTTATTTGTTTAAGCATTGGTATATACACAAATTTTAATTTTTATGTTGCGTAATCTTAAAAATTAAATATGCAATAATACCAACGCGATCATTTATGAAAACCGCACTTGTATATGTTATAATGATATTATCGTGGGCCATATTTTATTAAGCATGTGTTAAATTTGAAAGCCAATTCCATAAAATTGAAGATAAAGTCCAGAATATCTAAGAAACGGTGTGATATTGTCAAAGAATTCAGCTTGATAAATAGTCTCCTAGCACTTCTCAAACGCTTTTAAGCATTCACAATTCTGACAAAGTTCGTAATGTGTGACCAAAAATAAATACTTTGTGATAAACATATGTTTGATATATGTATTATGGTAACCATGCCATATTATTTTACGAGTGAATACATATCTATTAAGTACATATTGCAGTGGACGGCCTACTCTAAAGTGTCATTGAGTGAGAGAATAATAAGAAATGAATAGGGATGGATTGAGTGCACAATGAATAAGACTCAATCTTGCAGTGAACAAGTTATGTTATGTAAAGTACACATATAAGCAATACTATTCAGGAGAATGAAGGAGCTCTGAATAGTGTCCTGCAGGTGACAGCAGTTGGAGAGGAACTCTGACGTGAGGTAGAGGACAGAAACGGGTACTTGAAGCTGGAACGTGAACATGAACAAGGGAGGTTTCGGTGACGGCGTGCGAGAGGACCCCTCTACTGGAAGAGTAGAGAGTAGAAGGGTAAAAGTTTTGGTTTTTATAAATAAAAGAGTGATTTGACGACAGAAACAAATGTTACCTTGTACCCTGATTTTTCGTCAGTTGTTGACTTAGGCGTGGTTTCACAAACAATTTTCGATCAGATGAATTCCCACCTCATATTTTCGGTCAGTTAAGGTTAATAATTTTACTATTCGATACAGATGGCTAATCGTGATGGCCGAGAATGTTGGAGCATTGCAGGTTGTACCATTCTCGTGCCTAGCGACGCCGGTTCGACAAATCCGACCTGAGAAGGGTTGACATTTATTTCGTGGCGGTCCCACAAAATGGAACTCGACCCTCCCACTCTGGCTAGAATAGGTTTGGCTGTACCTCGATAACAACCCTTCCGGATGCCAGGCATGGTGGATAGAGAGTAACTCCATAAAAAATAAAATAAAATGAAACAATTAAAAACAAAACAAATGGCTAGTTCCCCCACTCTGGTTTGTAAACTTACTCCTTCATTTTTAATCATTTCGGTAGTCAGATATTGATATAATAACTATCTAGTTCAAATAGTTCTGATATCATTAGCCTAGTATTATATATTACATGGTTGGAAAACCGCGTCCACTAAACGTTCATGAGCTATATTTATTAAGCTAATGCTAGAATTAATTAATATTTAAAAATTAAGTAATGACAATTTGGAAATTGACAGAATCAAGTTGAATTTATCTATGTGGGTGTGTGTATTTAGTGATAAATAAAAATATTAACGGTAAAATATAAAGAATTATTGTGGCCTCTACTAGCACTGCGATGGTGAACGAAGTGCAGAAGAACTCCTTCAGAGAATAATAAGAAATGAATGGGGATGCATTGAGTGCACAATGAATAAGTAGTAATCTTGTTGTAAACAAGTTATATTGTGTAAAGTACACATATAAAAAATTGGTGAACGAAGTGCAGAAGAATGAAGGAGCTCTGAACAGTGTCCGGCAGGTGGCAGCAGTTGGAGAGGGACGACGCTGGCGTGAAATAGAGGAGAGGAATGGGCACTTGAAGCTAACCTTACTGCTTTCTCTAATGATCAAAAAGTTTCCCACCTATTATGTAATATATTATAACACACACACACACACACATATATATATATAGTACTTTATACCAAATAAAGTTTTTTATTCACTTTTAGCGGAGGTTTATAAATTTTTAATTTAACTGTCAATCCTTAAAACCCGAAGGAACACCGTGTTGGTGGACCACATATAATGATTAGTAACATTAGCACAACGAAGAAAAGATCGGGAAAACATATCTAACCACAATCTTGCATACCAAAATATTTGGAATAAGAGTATTAGGGTAGAACGCTTTCTTAATAAAAAACAAAAACTGTTATGGATTTTTATGAACTTTCGAAAAACGAACCACAAATGGTTAATTTAAATCTGATTCAATATGTTTGAATAAAAGCAACTTAAATTATAATACTGCTACATTAAATGAATACTACTGTTTAAAATGCTCTACTGTACTAATTAAATAATTCAATATCTACGCTAGAATTAAAAACAGGCATAGTATCTCTTGAGACACACCGAGAGCAACTGGTCAATACGCTCTATGAAAGGCTAAAACGTCTTAAGATCAGCTGGAGTAACTACGAACCCGCTCCTGAACGCCTTAAAACACAAATTACTTTTACTAAGGTAGTGGAAGGTTTGATACAAAGGTAAGGACTAGAACTAGCTGAAAGAGAGCCTGAAACGATGGAGTGGATTGCTGGAAGAAAGTGGCAGGATCCCGAGAGACCTCCCTAGAGGGCAAGCCGTGGCATGCTTTAGAATAGTCACAAGCTATGATTTCCTGCAGAAGCACCTCCATCGCATCGGCATAAAAGATAGCCCGATATGTCCTCTCTTGGATATTATGACAGGAGAATATCTTGATACATCCCGCATTAATTAAGCTCTATACGAAAAACAAAAGTTTCTACTTCAAAGCCCAGGAAACCTGCACTTTCTGTAGCCAATTCATTTCTAACAGCCTGTTCCATATCCTTGTGTAATGTGAAAAGCTAACAGACGACAGATGCAAACATTTACGAGCATTTCTCTCTGCGCCAAGTGATGTATACAAGATACAAGACATACTTCGAATCGATAACATAGAGAAACTTAACAAGATTTACTGGTTCATAATGTCAGCGTGCAATTCACTGGATTCTTTAAGCTCTGATGTTCCACACACTAAGTGCTATGACTAAGGATAATTGTTGGTCAGTTCAATTAATTGTTTGTTGTTTTTTTCTTTTTTTTTCTTATGGTTTTATTGATAATGTAGATAGAGAGTAATAGGAATGTAATGAAGTATTATTGTTTTTATAGTAAGCCAATGTACAGTTATGATAAACTAGACTCATGTAGCTGAAATAAAGTTATTCATATATGTATGATTTGTACAAGATTGTAAAATAATCTTTAACAAATAAATTCAATTCAATATCTTGATACATGCCCTGCATTGCAAGACATAAGATGTTCCTTTAGGGAAATGGACAGCCCTTATGCTAGGAGAGCAAAATTATATTGGACTGAAAGAGAATGCATGGCTGATCAAGCAGGCGTTACTTAGGCAAAGGAAAAAAAAAAAAAATTATGATTTTTTTGAAAAATCGAAAGAACGTGATGAACGAAGGAGTATGACCTCTTTGGCGTCCCAAGGTAATCCGAGGAGGTTTTTCTCCGCCAATATTTGATTGTCAAATTTTTGTTCCGTTGTGAATTGTTTTGTTGAGCTGTCTATTTTATTAAAATGTATCTTTTATTTGTTGTAAGTTTGCTTTTAACTTGGTGATCAGTTGACTGTTGTATAGTTTCTGAGATTTATAGTTTGCTGTATTTTTTAGTTTTTACCATTTTTTTTGTCTCAGCAGTTACAAGGTTGCTTTACAATATAATTAACCATTACAAAAGTAATAGAAAATTAAATAATTTTAGATTAGAATATAGGTGTAATTTGTTAACCATATTGTCAGCTTCGTTAATATATATATATATTTATAGCATATTCAATTAAACGAAAGTTATTCATTAATATGTAGTTTATGTTACATGTTCAAAACAAGTTAATATGTCGAAAAACCAATCAAATAAGTGCTATGGTGCATTAAAATACTAAGGAACATAAGAATGTCAAAATTAATTAAAAGTTTTTAATAATTACAAAAATAAACAGGTCACTATAGATCACCACACTTCTGAGTTAACTAATTTTTAAGAAATTAGTTTGATGTATTTTTTTTCCATAATTTGTTTAATTTGCTTCTAATGCTTTTATTGAACAAAAGCTTAATCTTAAGCTTGTAAGCTGAATCTTACTGTATAACAATTGAGCATATAAATTGTGGTGTTTTCCATCTTTACCAGTTAAAGTGGCTCTTCCCTTCTTCCCGCCGACAATATTTCCTTGTATCTTTCCTATCCCAAACGATTAACCCGTTCCTATGCCTACAGTCTCCTACAGTTCAAACTCGTGATCCACTCCCTGAAAATAAGATCCCGTGTTTCCGACCTTTATGTCCATTCTCATAGAACTCATACTTATAAAATACTGAAATTTGTTATTGTATAATTAAACCTTTTTTGTGTGTTTATAAATATTGTTTATGTATTTGCAGGTGAAACCTGTATTTACATAAAACAAGAAAGTGAGATGCAAGTTCCAGATGAAGGTGATTAAATCAATTTTACTAGCCAATTATATGTCATATTCTTGTTAGATTGTTTGAAAATCTTGTTGTATTTATAACATCTTGAAAGATTTAGTTTTAGTTAACTCTTTTTTTTTTGTTTAAAGTCTACTTAAGAAATATCTAATATTTTTTAATAAAACCTTTTATTATATTCTTATAAATATTGTTTATATATCTGCAGGTGAGCTTGTTCTGGTGAAACAGGAAAGCGAGATGGTAATCTCAGATGAAGGTGAGAAAATAGGATGTATTAGCCATTACATGTTTTATTTTCATAAGATTTTATTTTAATCTTATTTTTGAAAAATGTACTTATAAAATACTGAAATTTGATATTGTGTAATTAAACCTTTTTTTTTGTATTTGTAAATATTGTTTATATAATTGTAGGTGAAACCTGTAGTCACATAAAACAAGAAAGCGAGATGCAAGTTCCAGATGAAGGTGATTAAATCAATTTTATTAGCCAATTATATGTCTTATTTTTATAAGATCTTTTAAAAGTCTTGTATTTAAAACATATGTCCCATCTTGAATGCTACGTAAATTTTAGTTAACTCTGTTTTTGTTAAAAATCTATTTAAAAAATACCTAATATCTTGTAATAAACCTTTTATTGTGTTGTTATAAATATTGTTGATATATCTGCAGATGAGCTCGTTCTGGTGAAACAGGAAAGCGAGATGCTAGTATCCGATGAAGGTGAGAAAATAAGTTGTATTAGCCATTATATGTTTTATTTTCATAAGATTTTATTTATATTTTTATTTTTATATATTTTCTACCTTGGATGCTAAGTAAAAATTTAGTTTTCTTTACTTTTTTTTTTTTTAGACAATACGTAAATTGAGTATTTATTCACTGAATACAGAACTTTGCGATCCGAAAGTTGCGATGTTATACGGTTATAATTTGAATCATGGCCACGACCCTGTTCTGCTTACAGGTTTCGCAGATGACCACTCATAATTTTGAATCGGCAGAGAGAACAATTAACCGCATTCGGAAAATGCTCTGCGAGCTGGGATTATCCGTTAATCCTTATTCATTCTGGTAAGAAGCGAAGATTGATAAGGTCAAAGTTGTGTTTAGATACCAGGGAGCAAATAGGTTCAGTTAAAGAAGATGACACCATCTTGGCTATTAAGTGAGCTGGAATTTTATAATATTCCTTTGGGAAGGATGAGTCGAAATATGGAAAAACTAGTCAAATCTCCTTAAGCCAGATTAGAAACTGAACGTAGTAAATGGGTACGTGTTTCCTTCTTTAATATATCCACTACCGATGGCGCCATTGACGAAACTGCCTTCATCATTATTAGGACGTCATAATAATAAAAAGTGTAAAGGCAATGATCGGTTTGCCGGCCAACTCGTGCTCCACTATGATGTATGCTCTGCGGCTCAACAGGGGCCTTGGTATTTTGCGGTGTCAGTAGGAGGCTCCTCTTCATCATTGGTCTATATCCCAAAAATTGGCAAATGTACTGGATGCTCTATTTCAGACTTTTTTTTATTTTAGGGGCGAAGTTCAAAAGTGTGCTGATCTGTTGGTATTCCAAGCAGATACTATAGAAGCGACACTGACAGTCAGGACAGTTAGGCAGTCCCTGAGAGTAAAATCGTTTGAGGATTGATGTCAATGTAAGTGGTAAGGAATAGGTGTGCCACATTTTAAATCAAACCAATGGGCTAACAGGTTTATGTACGACAGAAAGATCCTTACAGGCTCAGAGGGGACGATTCTTTGAAATTGAACATGAACTATGCTCTTCTTCGTGGAGTTCCAGGAACCAGAGGCCAGGCGAATGGAGATGTTGGATGGACGCCCTAGCAAATGTGGCCGAGGGCCAAAAACTCCAGCTCATGTACTGGGCTAATGTCCGAATAACATTTTCGGAAGGCTCTACGAGATTTTAGCCTTTAGTGCAAAAGGAAAAGAGGCTCAGATAGTCGATACTACAATATGATTTGAAACAAACAATGAGGATCAAGATGTTAAAATAAAAATAGAAAAAGAGGAGATCTGCAAAAAAATGCATTCCATACCTACAGGAGAAATACAGAGAGGAATTTGATGAAAGAGAGTACTCTGTTCGAGAGTAGAGGAGCGATTCCACCTTCAACTGCTGTGTTTTCGGAGAAGCTGGATGTGGGAAGGAGCTATCTGCAGAGTATGCCGGAACCGAATAATTTTGGACTTGTTGGAAATCCTGCACCATCACTTATATTGATTCTGGGCAGTTCGTTATGAGCAGTCGTGAGAAGGAAGGAAATTGAGTGTAGCAATAAGAAAATAAAGGATAACATTCGGTACTTTGAATGATAGTCTTGCAAAACTGTATCCTTAGTTCTCTCTCATTAAATGTTATCTGTTGGGATTGATGAGTATATGCTGGGTGCTGTAGTTGAGCAGCTCTACAGCTTTGTTGTACTTGTGTGGAACCCATGTTCAAATAAAACAAGAAAGCGAGATGAAGGTGATTAAATTAATTTTACTATTCATTATTTATCTTATTTTTATAAGACTGTTTAAAAATCTTGTATTTATAATATGTGTCTCACCTTGGATACTAAGTGAAGATTTAGTTTTAGTTTACTCTTTATTTGTTAAAAATCTACTTACAAAATATCAGATATTTTATAATAAAACCTTTTATTGCATTGTTATAAATATTGTTTGTATATCTGCAGGTGAGCTTGTTCCGGTGAAACAGGAAAGCGAGATGCTAATCTCAGATGAAGGTGAGAAAATAAGTTGTATTAGCCATTATATGTTTTATTTTAATATTTTTTTTATATGTTCTGCCTTGGATACCAAGTAAAAATTTAGTTTTCCTTTTTGTAAAAAATTCTGAAATTTGTTATTGTGTAATAAAACCTTTTTTTTGTTTTTATAAATATTGTGTATATATTTTCAGATGAAACCAGTGTTCACATAAAACAAGAAAGCGAGATACAAGTTCCAGATGAAGGTGATGAAATTATTTTACTAGCCATTATATGTCTCATTTTTATAAAATTGTTTAAAAATCTTGTATTTATTACATGTGTCCCACCATGGATGCTAAATAAAGTTTTAGTTTTCTCTTTATTTGTTGAAAATCTACTTACAAAATATCAAATATTTTGTAATAAAACCTTTTATTCTGTTGTTATAATTATTGTTGGTATGTCTGCAGATGAGCTCGTTCCGGTGAAACAAGAAAGCGAGATGCTAGCCTCAGATGAAGGTGAGAAAATAGGATGTATTAGCCATTATATGTTTTATTTTCTTAAGATTTTATTTTAATATTTTGTTGGTGAAGAAATTGTTGACTATTTAATATACTGATTTATGTATCTATCTATGAAATTTCTTTTTTTGTTAAAGGAATTTTAAATTTTGTTACCTTATCTTGAATATTATTTTTTATCTTTATTGAATATTTTTGTTTATTTTGCAATACAAAATATGTATATCGTCTTGTATTATTGTATATGAAGTGTGTGCGTGCGTGAGTGTGATTGAATCTTCTGCCTGCCTGCCAAATCTGCAGGATTAGGATTAAGATTACTTTTGTATATTTATAAAAAGTCTTCTTCACTACCTCCTTGGCCTGTTTGAGGTGCACAGGACAATCTCTGCTACTTGCCTATTGCCTTCTTTGACCAGCAGGAGCATTTGTCCACTTTCAGTTCATACAGAATGGGCTTTCCAGTTCTTTTTTCTTAGGAAACTCTGTAATAATATGGCCAGTGGATGCTCACCAAATGCAAATTACAGCATTTGATATGCATATGGCTTTAGTGTCCCCATCCATGGCATTTACTGCATCAAGGATATCCTTAATGGTTATATTCCACTATCATCCACCTAAACTCTCTGTTTCCAACAGCAGGAATCATACTGCAGGGAGCACTTCCATAATTCCATTTCTTGCCATTGAGGAAAAAAGTGCCCGATATTATCAACAACAAGTAAAGTGGGTATCGACTTATTCGGTATTCTTCCCCATAAAAATATCCACTAAGATCTGCTAATTCCCACGAGTGAGGAACACCCCACACCTCCAGTCTGGATTTCTATCTCAAGGCTTGCTTCAGTTGAAGATCATTGCCCTGTAGCCTCTTCCATCTAGTCATCTTTGTGGTCTCGCTACTATCATCGATGTGGACCCAGACATTTTCTTTTTGGCTTGTTTTTTATTATACAAGTCTTCTATCTCATTTTTCCGAGGTGACTCGGCCTAATTTTCGGGAGTGGATTCCTCACCTCTCTGTCTTTTAGTTCTTTCTGTTTTATCACTATTCATTAATAGTGATTGGCTGTATGGACTATGGAGGCCTTTACACCAATTTCGCTTGGTGGCGGCTAGGCATTAATTATACCAGCTGGTTTCTTACTTGTTCCACTTTAATATAAGTTGGTCTTTTAGTTAGATTGAGCCTCATAGCTAAGCAATTCACAATATCGGTAATCCTTATTGGCTTATCCTGTCTTTGTTCTTCCACTTTTGGGTCTCTTGAGATCTCTATATTCATTAATGAATTTCCTTGCTGCTTTAGTTTTCCTCTTTCTTCATGTGCTCGTAACAATCTCAACACCTCAGTCACACCTGAAGCTTGATCCACACGTCGACTAACAGATTGATACTGCTCACCGAGTGATTCTGCCTTAGACTTTATAGCTTGAACTGCCATAGCTGTTATCGAGAGAACCTCCGTAGCCTTAGCTTAGGCACTGACGTTTCAACAATAATTTTTGTTAACATGTCATTTACCTTCTGTGATGACAATGTTTTGCATATTGCTCTTTGGACCATAGAAGATAAGACTGCTGCAGCTGTCTTGATTATCCTTGTCTTCAATACAACATTAAATAATGGAAAGGTTTGTGTTCATAAGAAAGGCCTGCTTCTTATTTATCCATGCCAACCTTCTTGTAACTTCCTACTGTATAGGCAGCTGGAAGTTATGTTGAAATAAAATAGTAGAAGAATGAATTATTAAAATTTTGTTATTCAGATTTCCTTATTAAATTCCTGCGAGTATAATGAAATATTTTCTTTCCTTGGCTTGTCTTTATTATTATTTTCATGTTTGTAGATGGACTCGCTACCACACAGATGAAACAAGAACTGCTCCTCCTGAACAAAGGTCAGTTGAAACATTGATTTTATTTAACTCAGAGAAGTGAATCTGGTGTTCCATGAATGTTATTTTATATTTGTGCCAGTTTTTTCATTTACATTCATATATTGTCATGCCTCATCCTTTTCCAAGGTTTTTTCATTTATTTTTTAAAAAATAAAGTTAAGCATATTCCCAACAGCAGTTTCAAGTTATATGTTGTAATTGTGCCATCAGTTGTAAATTTTGTATATTTTATTTTGTTTACTTTTTTTTTTTTAGATTTAAGTAACTGGAATCTTTCCTTAATGGAAAAAATGGTTGTTGAAACGGATCCTTCTTGTAAGATTTTCCTTTTTAAATGTATTAACTATTATTTACTTATACTTAAATGTGTTTGTGCATTCCATAATTTTTAAAAGGATTTAGTGATAGAGTTATGTTCACTAAAATTTGGTTTTGAGCAGGGGTTGTGACTTTTTAGGAAAAAAGGTTTTTTTTTTTAAATAGAAGTCCTAAGGAACTTTTTTAATTTAGAAGACTTTAGTTTTTAGTTTGCCCACCTCTGTCTACTTTCAGACACACTCAGCCAATCTTTTAATTCCATTTATAGTTCATGAGATCTTGTGACACCCATTAAAGTGGAAATAACATTCAGTTGTACGATATTCAATAGATTGTTAGTGAAGATTTCAGTATTTGTATGTTTAAATTATGTCTGAAAATCACATATGTATCTTACATTTTAATTACTTTTTCAGGTACAAGTCATTTTGGGTTTCCTGCATTTAATAAAATGTTTGAAGAAACCAAGCCTTCATGTAAGTTTTTTTGTGTTCGTTTTGATGTTACAAAATTTTACATAATCCACTTAATTTTTACTGCTTATTGATGTATATTGCTTCTATTATTTTAAAGAATTTTTATATCATGTGTACCAAAACATTAAAACTTAAATAGTGCCACTTTTGGAATGAATCATAGTTCAGTTGTACGATGTTCAACAGATTGTTAGTGAAGTTTTCAATAGTAGTAGTATGTTTACATTACGTAGGAAAATCACATATGTATTACTTTTTCAGGTACAAGTCGTTTTGGGTTTCCTGCATTAAATAAAATTTTTGAAGAAACCAAGCCTTCATGTAAGATTTTTTGTATTCCTTTTGATGTTAGAAAATTTTAAATAATCCATATAATTTTTATTCCTTTCTGATGTTTATTGCTTCTACGATTTTATAGAACTTTTATATCATGTGTACCAAAACATTAAAACTTAAATAGTAGCGCTTTTGGAACGAATCGTACTTCAAGGCCGGTTTTCGAACAAAATGTTTGGTTTGGAAAGAAAAATATTGTACAATTGGGCGAGAAAATTTACTAAGATTCTGTTATAAATTTTTTAATTTGTTTTACAGTAATACTTCAATTGAATCATTTTTTTTTTAAATTCAATTTGAGTAAAAAAGTTAAATAAACTTATGGTTAATTAATTTTTATTTAATACTTAAGAAATGCAAGTATCACTGCATTCTTTGAAAAATAATAACAATAATTATAAAAATAATTCTTACTTATCTTTCATCCGACTTTTTTTTTTTCATACTTCATAAAATATAATAAAAAATCTTCACTCAGGCCAAAATGAATACGACCTCAATAATGAAGGATATTTTATAATGCCTAATTTTCTGGATGGAAGTTTTGTTGAATTTGAAGAACTTTTTATCTTTTCAGAAAAACTAAATCCTTTAAAACAAGATATAATAAATTAATATTCTTCTGAAAAAAAAAGTCCAAAAGTGAGAACCACCTACAAAAAATTAGGGCTGTACCTATCGGCATGACAATATATCAATGTAAACACTGTGAATATGTTTACATCGATATATTGTCATGCCTCACCCTTTTTTAATTTCCATCTTTGTTAGTTTTAAATATTTAATTATTAGAATCAATTTTTGCTTTCTAATATAATGTTTTCTGTTGTTGTTTTTTTTTCATGAAAAAGTAGTTGTTTTTTTATAAGTAAAGCTAAGCATGTTCCCAACAGCAGTTTCAACTTATATGTTGTAATTATGCTATAACCGTAAATTTATATTTTATTTACATTTTTTTTTTAGATTTAAGTAACTGGAATGTTTCGTTAATGGAAGAAATGACTGTTGAAATAGACCCTACTTGTAAGTTTTTTCTTTTTAAATTTATTAGATATTTACTCATACTTAAATATGGTTTTGCTTTCCATAATTTTTTAATGATTTAGAGATAGAGTAAAAAATATTGGAAGATTTTCGATTAATGCTTGATGATTTTTAATCTCGATTCAAATTATGTTCACTTAAATTCAGTTTTGAGTTGGGGTTGAAACTTAACTATAAAAAATATTATGGTAAAAGTTTAACTTTTATTTATTTGAAGTATTTACCTGGTGAAACTCACTTAAAATACTGAGACATGAGAACTCGTGCATGAGATTTTCTCTCAAATAGAATGTTTTTGCTTTTTGCAAACATGTTCCAATGCCCAAACGCCAAATATTGTTATAATATTTTCGAAGGATAAAGAAATAAGTAAAATATAAAATAAAGCAAAAAAGTGTATTGAATTAAATTATTACAATATATTATTTAAAGTACCATTAAACATAAAAAAAAAAAACTTTACAAGTACAACTCATGAAGGGTCTTAGGTTCAGTATTATTCAGGAAAAGTATTGTTTCTTGGTCAATGGTCAGGCAGGGAGGTGATTTGGCCGATGTTACGCTCAATTGCCAGTTTTTTCCCCTTAACTAATTATTTAATTAAGAGTACCTATTTTATAGAGGCTGGGTGTGCCCCAGGAGGACTCCCAAATCTAGGGTCGACCAATGGCTGATGAAACATTATTAGACAGACAAGACATTAGATTCAAAAGCATTTTTTGATGTCTAAAAAGTAAAACGTGAGTTAATATTTACATTTTCTGCATGAAAATAAAGCTTGTGGTAGTGGAGTTCATTCAAAAGACATTATTAAACATATCTATTTTTTTTTCTTTTTTAAGAAGTGGATAGCCAAAAAATTTAAACTTGGATGTCATATAATTAAATTGATACTATTTGTAGATTAGTCCATATCTTTCCTCCAAAGTAAACAATTTGCCATTTTTTGAAATATAAACATGTTAAGGAAAGCATGTCTAAAACAAGAGCATGTCGTTCCCGTTTAATACTGTTGATATAATAAAATATAATAAGCCATGCTGGATGAAATGTATTCCCTTCTTGTAAAAAAAAAAAAAAAAAAAAAAAAAAAAAAAACCTGTACCACACTACAACCCATAAATAGTCTAGGGTTCTGTACTATTTAGGGAAAGCACTGTTTCTAGGTCAACGGTTGTGCAAGGAGGTAATTTTACTGAGATCATGCTCAATTGCCAGGTTTCCCCCCTTAATTAATTATTTAATTAAGGGTACCCACTTTAAAGAGGCTAGGTGTGCCCCAGGAGGGTCTCTTGACCCAGGGTCGCCTCACGGCCAATGAAACAGATAAATTAATTTTCTGCCATGAGCCGAGGTTCGAACCTGGGACCTATGGCATTGGAAGCTGTTTTTGTAAAAAAGTTGCCCTGCTCAGAAATATGGTGGATATCGATGTACATATTATTTTGAAGAGTTAATACTTATATATGTATACATAATTTTTAATGCCCATATTTTATACATTGTAAGAATTGTTAAACTTCTTCATCTCTAGGAATGATAATTTATATGCAGGTCTCGTGTTGATAATTTCTATTGTTTATTGGAATCACAAAAAAGAGATGCTCTATGGTGTCGTCAGTATAACATACCAGAATAAACTTTTCGAGGTATATGTGCAGAGTATGCAGCTACCTGAAAGCCTCGACAGTGTGTGTTCAGTATAGGGGTAAGATGACTAAGTGGACGGAGGATGATGAGTAGATCCCCCGGTATTTACTCCTTTATGTGACATTGTGTGAGGGAATGAGAAGGAATATATAATACATAGGAATGTGAGGTTGCACTGTGAATTGTACTCAATTATGCTGTGGACAAATTATTCATGGAAAAGTCTCATATCGATGTAGAAGGATGCTGGAAAAAGGACGGAACAGGTAGCCTAGCAACAGTTGGCAGAAGGACGCCGAGAAGAGAAGAGAGCGCACTTGAGGCAGAGACACGGAGGCGAGAGGGTGTTACCTGAGATGAGAGAGGCAGAACATTGAAGACCAAGATTATCAAGCCTACAATTATAAGACTTTAATTGATTCATTTATTACAGTTGTAAAATAAATTATTTTGTTAGACTGGAGTGAAAAGTCATTTATTTATTTAGTTGTCCTATATGCCTCACGATTGAAGAATAATAAACCAGGTGAGTCAATTCATTCAAAGTGTGTTTACTTAGTCCCACATTTCAGATATATATATTCTTATTGTTTCTTCTCACTCAGTTCCAAACGACAGTTAAACACCCTCAAAAAGTCTATATCCAGTGCCGGGGTTTTGTTTTAATATTCACGAGTGTAAATAACCTAGTTCCCCGATGTAAAAGGGGAAGGCTATTCCCTATTCCCGCCAAAACAAGTTATTTACATTTAAACTTTAAGAGGTTATTTACACACTCTTGGTCTGCGGTGTAAAGGATCAACCTTAACACTCAGGAAGGATGGTAACCACAAACGGAGGGATCAGTCTCCTGACTTTGTGGGAGGATGAGATACTAACGGAGTGATCAATCTCCTGACTTAGTATATGGGAATACAAGCGGACGGATCAGCGTCCAAAATTGCATGGAGTAATAGAAGAGGATTAAGGATTAATGGATATTGAGAAGTAAAAGGCAGTTGGCAGTTTATTGAAGACCAAAAAGCGTATATGTATCATATACTGATCAACTGCGTAGAGGTTTACACCCTGAAGGGGTGGAGATCTGAGGACCTCTTAACAATTTTTTTTTCCTATCCCCATGAATTTATTTATTGTACAAAATACAATGTGTAAATACATAAAAATATATATACAAAAATTTCTAATTTCCTCTTATTACCCAAGGGCATTTTAAGGTAAAAGGGCTATGCACGCTGTATGCGTACTTTACAACTGTGGCCAGAGGCTTTTATTATATCACTGGGCATGGAGGGACTGCCCTGTAAACAACTAGCAATTTTGTGAAAGGACTGCGGTATTCATTCCGCCATGACTAAATCGGCTGTCAAGAGTCATTACAATCACAGTTATTTTTAAGCTTTGATCTGTATATGTTATCGCCATTAAACTTTATTAATAAAAAGTATTTGCAATGTATATACATATTTCAATTTTATAATTTGAGTATTTTATCATAAAACAATAAGAAATAAAAAATACATTTTTTGGTACATTGCACGAGTGAGCTTGTGTGGCGCCGCCAGGTGAAGTAATTGTCCCTTGTTGCAAGTGGTGGGAACCGCCACAAACTGAACCTAAGCTGAGGTCTTGATGTTACGACTCTTCAAATGTACATCGACGTCCATTATATTTCTGAGTAGTGCAATTTCAATTTAAAAGAAGAAAGGATTGCATTTTAAGAGATGGGTGATAAAGAGATATTTACTTATTTATTTCAAGAGATATTTACTAAAATATTTCAAAAGTGATGCTCTTCCTTTATGATTTAGACATCGACTGCCCAGATATTTTACACAAATATTATCCACCAATATTCGCAATATTTGATAACTATGCACTCAAATTGAGGAATATTGTGGTGGAAGTGAAAAAAATGAGAAACCTCGGATAAGGCTATCCTTAGGCTGTAGATCGGATGCAAAGTAATGCTAGTGGGTTAAATGATGAGAATGGTGAAACAAGTATAAGATGTAAGTGACTGAACTTGCTTTTTGTAAATATAGTGTCTTTTTTTCTCAAAATCAACTATTTGTTTTTTGTCTTTTTCTTTGCAGCGCAGATTCTGAAACTGTGCGAAGACTTTGACGTAATGGAAAATATTTTTTGTAACAAAACAAATATTCCACTAGCTATACATGATCCAGTAATCCGGTTTTTGACCGATTCTCCATCTCCATTCAGTGTTAAAAGAAAGAGAAAAAGACTCAAACTTCAGCTACAAAATTCAACATCTTACCTACCTGAGGTAAAAACTTCAAAATTCTCAGGCCTCATTGAATTGACTAATTAATATGTTACATTTTTTTTCTACTTATGACTTTTATCTATGAATGACTGCATTTTATGTTTGTCCTCTTACCAATAAAATCAAATTGATAAGTTGCAATTCTCCCTCTGGAATTCTATCTGTTAACGCTCACAGCGACAATTTATTTAGTTATTATTTTAATTCAATTTTAAATATTTAATCTGATCATATCCTTTTATCTGTGTTCATAGGATTATGTTACTTGGTATGTGTGTGAGGATTATGTTCTAATTTTGGAATTTGAATATCTTTTTTTTCCTGTAAATTTCTGAGTTTGTGTTATGTCGGTTTTCACTGCAACATATATATATATATGTTACTCAAGTATAATTAAGTGCTATGTCCAAAAAGGATTGATAAGTATGCTGTATATCGAGCAATCCTATATATTAGGGCAGCACTGCTTTAAATAAAGTATTTCTCTCTTTTAATATTAGTTATATTTTGTTAGTTTTAGTATTACTTTAAATAGAATAATTTTGGGTTGCATAGAGATAAATATAATTTCTTTTATTCAATATTTCATCATTGTTTTATTTTATTATGAAGCAGATGTAAAATGTATTTCATTTTGTTTTTCTTTGTTATTATAGAAAAACTAAATGCTCAGTACAGGTTTTGTTTTGTTTCAATTTTACAGTTCATTATTTTTATTAAATAATTCTTTCCGTTTTTTTCACATTTGTTAGTTGAGCTTCATTCACCTAAAATTGCTAGGGAGCTAATACTATCCTTCCCGATATTTCGACCTGCACAATCAGTTTTCTCTTTCAAATTTCTCCTCAAGCACCTATACCTATCCCATTCTCAATCCGATGGATCACAAAATGCATGTAAGAGAACTCTTTAAGTGTCCCCTGAAACTATTTTGTTTACTTAAATTATTTTATTTTTCTATATTTGTTATGTATACATGTATATGTATATATATAAACCTTTTTTTTCCCCCTCTTTCTATTTCTATCTATCTATTCTATACCTATCTGTATTTTTATTTTTAATTACCTACTATTTTGTAAATATTTAATTTAATGTATGGCCACTCTCATTCATTCTGTATTTATAATTTGTTCTAAAGGGACATCAGTCCCGGGATGATAAAATTATTTTCAATTTCATCAATCAGCTTTTTTTTTTAGGTGCGAAAAGTTAAAATGGTATATTTAAGAGAGAAGCTAGACATTTTTAAGACAGTAGAAGAGAGGAAGTTGAAGCTAATAGAAGACAAGATCATTGCAGATCGTGAAATTGCTAGAGAGCAACTAAGACTTAGAGAGATGGAAATTAATTATAATTTCCAATTAAATAGGTTGAGATTGGAAAGAGAAATGGCTTTAAAAGAGTTAGAGTTAAAATATAAATATGATAGATCTTGAAATAAATTAATTAAAAATACCTTAACACTGTTTTATATACCTATTCCTCATGTTCTTTGTTATATATACATATGTTATCGTTAGAGACCGAAATCTGTAAAATGTCAACATTCACACAGTTTCTTGGTGTATGTCCTAAATATTAGCTAAATACCCTTATTTCTGACTTACATCGGTAAATGTCGACATTTATCATGCACTAATGGAGAATGTTGAACATCTCGGAGATTTATATTTTCTTCTGACGTAATTCGCTCTAAAACCTCACAAGGGTGATGTAACTTTTTCACCTCTCTTTCTGAGAGGAGTGGCCAAGGATTTAAAATACACAGTACATTATAATGAGAAAATAAAATAATACTAATAAAAAAATTACTTTACGGCACATATTTCGGATATGACTTGATTACTGAATTCTCTATCATGATTTGATTGCAATATTGCTGGTGCAGCAAATGTAAAGAAAAATTTAAAGAACATGATACGCTACTCCTTCAGTTTTTTTAGTTTTCAAAGGTCGTAGCTGGACAAACTTAGTTGAATGATGTTGATATACCATTATGAAACTCATACTCGCCACATCTGTTTTACTGCAGATCTATCAGATGTGTTCTTCCTCTGTGGCCTATCCTGGTGTGAGTTTCATAGAGTTTACTGAACAATTCTTCATTGGTAGCATAATACTGTATATTTGTTTCTCCTGGTTTTAATGGTACAATCAACTTCTCTTCATCTTTAATTTTTATATCAAAACGTTTTAATGGTCAGTAATCCAAAGGTGTGTTGCACTTAGTTTTAGCAGAAACCACTTCAGAAAGTATTTTAGAGTACTTTTCTTGAGAAATATAAAAACAATTGTCTTCTTGTTTACCCGAACTTAATGCATTTAACTTTTCAAGAAAAAGGTTACGATTTACTGCAGTATCCATTCAGTATAAATTGCAGTATCGGAAAAAAAAAATTGAGAAAACATTGCTCACATCATTAAAGCTTGCATAAGACTGATTCCCAGCAGAACAAAGGATTTGGCGAGAGAGAGGCAGTCGCCTCTTTGTCGGCTCCGCTCTTTTGGACCTCCAACAGAGCATATCTGTGATTGTCGATATACACCAGTGAAGATCCGAATGTAATGAAATAATCGATCTTTTACCGACATATTTGGTATGTGTTGGTATTCACCAGTGAAAATCGACATTCTCCAATTTCGGTCTTTCACGGTTACATATATATATATACTTTATACTTATACACAAGACTAAAACCTATGAACGTTCCTTCTTAGCCCGCTCCGTCACCTACTCGAATTCTTTGCCACATAACATCCGTCATGCCTCTTCACTGTCAACTTTCAAATACCTCCTTTTCCAATATCTTCTCACATCCCAAACAGACGATTCGTAACCATAAATTTCATTTTATGAACTGAATTTGTGAGAAGTAAATGGTGATGCCTACTGTTTTAAGTTTTAACATAAAACAGCAATGATCCTTGACTATTATTTTTACTATTTATTTGTATTTCTCTTCACCTCAGGTTGAGCTTTTTATTTCATGTATAAACAGTAAAAAATAAAAAGTATAAAATATAAACACATATACATCTGCTATCTGCAGCTACGACCTTTGAAAACTAAAAAAACTGAAGGAGTAGCGTATCATGTTCTTTAAATTTTTCTTTACATTTGCTGCACCAGCAATATTGCAATCAAATCATGATAGAGAATTCAGTAATCAAGTCATATCCGAAATATGTGCCGTAAAGTAATTTTTTTATTAGTATTATTTTATTTTCTCATTATAATGTACTGTGTATTTTAAATCCTTGGCCACTCCTCTCAGAAAGAGAGGTGAAAAAGTTACATCACCCTTGTGAGGTTTTAGAGCGAATTACGTCAGAAGAAAATATAAATCTCCGAGATAAATAAAGTATTATATATACCTGTTCAATAATAATTTTATTATAATTTATTAGGGATTCCTGAAACCGAAACAACTACTCCACCTCTCCAATTTTCTTATTTTCATGACATTTCAGCTATCAGGTCATCATTTGATTAGGTGGCATAAAGGGAAGCTGTCATGGTAAACCACGTTAAATTTAAATATGATAGATAAAAAATGTTATAAATTAAAAACTTGCTTACTGGAACAGTTCCCCCTAACACTAAATCAACTGATGGTCTGACAGCCTAAAAGTCTTGAAAATAAATTTATTATTTCAGTAATGAAGTTTTTTTCCAGTTTCAGAAATTGCTTATCTTCTTCACATTTAATTATATAATTTCATTAATAAGTTAAAGCACATTAATATCATTTTTAATTACAATTTTTTTTAAAAATAATAATAGCCTACTGTACTACACATATCATAGGTGATAAATAATCAAGACTCAAGTAATTTTTCATACTGTTTATTGCCTATTTCTGTTAACATATTCATCCAAATGTGTATACATTAATATGTACATAGATTTGTCATTCAAAAGTAAAATCATTTTAAAACATCGCCACACTGACCGAATTCTTGTTTTTTTCTTAGTAATAGAATAAAAATAAATAAATATGATTTAAGAAAAGGATGGAAGTTGGGTGATGTATTGGTAAAAAGAGAGGATGGGCTTGAATTTAATTTAATATAAAATTAAATTGGTATCTATTAACCCTCACCATCCGGCATCATCTCTTGGCACCAATGAGAAGACTTCTTCACTGATCCAGGAAGAAAATTTGTCCTATATCTTATTGACGTAACAGCTGGGATTTCATATTTGTTTTCATCAAGTTCTTTGCCTTATGAATCTTCATTTATGCTCTCGCCGATGCTGTTCAACTCAGCACTAAAGAAAGTAATACGAATAACATGAAGATGACGGTGTGCACATTGGAATGAAAACATAAAATCCTAGCATATGCCGATGATATAGCTGTCCTCAGAAGTAATCAAGAGGATATTGAGAGACTTGTTCAGACTCTATTAAAAGAAGCAGGGCAAATAGGACTACAGGTCAATGTAGATAAAATAAAATATATGATAGTTAGACGAAACATCCACCGTAATAACATGATCTGCATGGAATCGAAGTCATTCCCGAAAGTAAACAGATTCAAATACTTCGGCTCCACAATAACCTTAATAAATGATCAACTAACAGAGATAGACCAGCGAATAACAAGTGCGAACAGATCTTTCTTCTCTCTTTCAAAGGTACTGAAATCCAAAAATCTCAAAATAAGGGTGTACACCGCCGTGATAAAGCCAGTTCTGCTGTACGGTTGTGAAACCTGGGCTCTAACCGGCACACTAGAAGCCAGAATTGAGAGATTCGAAAGAAAAGTTCCACATAGGATAACAGGACCTATATGAGACCAGAACCTTGACACATGGACGAAAAGGAACAATAAAGAACTGTTGAAAGAAACGGGTCAGTCAATATCTCATGACATGAAGGCAAGGAGGTTAAGATGGGCAGGGCATGTAGCTCGCAGCAATCCATCAGGACGCCTTTACACGACAATGAATGCCAGAGTAGTAGGCAAGAGATCACGTGGAAGGCCAAAAACCAGATGGATAGATAGGATAAACAAAGATACGGCTGAGACATTGGAACCAAACCTCTATGTTGTTATATCTCAATTTACTTTATGTAGTTATGTTCAGTTAACTTTCTATAGGACCAAGTTCCTAAACTCAGCGCTGAGATCATCGATGGCATCGGGTCCCTCTCTGACCTGGATTAAACAATGCCAAAGATGAGTTAAGGGGCAAGTCCCTTAACTCATCTTTTTATGGTACATCTGTGTTAACGTTCTGTTGGAACCTATCCGGGGCCTATTTCATAATAAAGTACAAACTAATATTATTAATCTAGTAGCTCGTACTCGGTACTTTTCGGTTTCATAAAAGAATTACAAACTACAAGTTGTAAAATTGAAAGTACAAGCTAAATATTGCTGTTATCACGATTTCACAGCTGGAAGCAAGGTTAACTGTACTATGTTCATGATAGTGTGACATTTGAAAACTAAGATCAACAAATAATAATAAACACGCGATTTAATTGCTGTTGAGACTAATTCATTCAATTATTGACGAAACTCAACAACATTTTATAGGTTATTATTTCAAAGGTTAGATTGTGTTTTAATTAGTTTGATAATCTTAGCGATAAAAATAAAACATTTTCACAATGAAATTGGTAATTACTATCTCCGTTATCACTATATTTACTTAAGTTTTGGATCGGTTTTCTTTTGCATTTTTAACAGAAGTAGAATAAACAAATACAAGCTAATATTTGTTGTACGTACACAAATTATGTATTCTATTTCATTACAGTGAATAAAATCGTCCTTAGGACTTTTTACAATAATAAGAAGGAAAGTAATAATTAACGGACAAAGAGAATCTCGTCCGTAGAGCAATAAATATGAGTAACATTTATAAATTTTTGATTTTCTAAAGTATTGATTCTCGTTTATTTTTGTATATGAACTCTTTTCTATAATGAAAAAGTTATAATTATCTTTAGAGGTGTGCATTTTTAAATACAACTGTATTTTATTATTTCCTATGTTGAAATATATATTATTCGTGCTAATATTTCAACTATGTTTTTAGTATTGTTCTTAATTAAATAAATACACGGTGTCAGACGAGCCAAACAGTCAGTTAAAGCATCTGATATTTTCACAGCCCCAAATTTGTGTATTTCATAAAAGCAGTGGGCTTACATAACCTAGATTTTGAATAACTGCTGAGCGATATTTTTCAATTTTTTTTTTTTAAATAAAATGTGTTTTCTATAATTCTAAAATTCTAATTGCCACATTTTTTTCTAAAAACAATTAAAATTTCTAGTCATATTATTCAGGTTCGGTGCCATTTTCTCATAAGTTTTTTATAAAGTATTAGGCGAAAGGTCACCAAATGTACACAATTTTTACATCCTGTATTATTTATTCAAAATACATCCTTATTAGACACATATTACTTAATATTTGAACTGTAAAAACTGAATTAAAATTAGTTTGCAGGATCTTGAAAATGGCTCCTGAAGCCGAAACGTCGAATAAATAATACAGGACGTAAAAACTGTGTACATTTGGTGACCTTTGGCATAATATTTTATATAAAACTTAATTAAAACTTCTTTTTTCTAAAAGCAGAACTTAGTTGGTTTAGCAACTCAAAAATTCTCTTTAAATGGTTTTAACAATGATAAACTCTACGTTCATTTAATATCTTCTTGTTTACAATGAAGCAATTAATTAATTACTTGAATTAAATATTTCTTTCGTTATTGCTTTTGATTCAATAAAAAACATGAGTCACTTAAAAAAAAACACAAAACTTGGATTTACTACTTTTCTGCTGCAAATTGGCCCATTTTTCAAATAAACTTTTTTTTAGCCCTTAAGGTCTGCTCGCTTTCCCTCTATTTACGGGACACCGTGTATACAATCATAATTGTGTACAAATATCATACTCAAAAAATGATGTAGTGGGTTTATGATAACTAAAATATATGATGAATACTTTTGATTGAAATCTATTTGCTAAATATCTTACAAAAACTACGTCATTTTTTAATTTAATTTCGGTATAAGGAGTCAGAAATTTGTCAAAACTATACCAGGTGCAACAGAAAATCAAATAAAAACACATAACTTATGTTATTTTTATGGTTATTTAAAAAAAAAACTACTGAATTCCACAAATCAGTTTCTGAATTCGCCAGGGTAATAAAATTTTGAGACATTTTAGTCCATATGTTCAAAACAGTCGTTATTAGATTTTTTGGCGCTATCTTTTTTCTTTTCCGACTCTCTGATTGGACGTCACGTTACGTCAAAATAAAGTTTTGAATTATAACTTATTACAAAGAGAATGATATGCTGAACCTTTCACTCACTTACGGTATGCAGGTCCGATTCTTGGATTTTGAGATATTTTAATCCATATCTTCAATAAAGCTCGTTATCATTTGGTTTTCGACACTATTTTGCCTCTCTAACATGCCGTCGCATTAAGATACAATTTGGAATAATAGTTCATTACAAAGAACATGTCTTGGTCCCGTCCTCTACGTTCTGTTTACTGCTGATATTCTTACTCATCCCGAAACACTCCTGGCAACATTCGCTGATGACACAGCCGTCTTATCTACCAATCCAGATCCTGAAACAGCATCCTTAAACCTAAAAAGTCACCTCTCTCTTATTGAACACTGGTGTAATAAGTGGCTAATCCAAGTAAATGAATCCGAATCCAAACATATCACTTTTACCCTTCGACCCAATTCCTGTCCACCAGTCTACTTCAATTCCATACCACTTCCTCTGTCCGACACAATCCGGTATCTTGGCTTTATTCTAGACAAAAGACTAACATGGAACTCACATACCAGACTTAAAAGACAACAACTTAACAGACGATACGGACAACTATATAGACTATTGAATAGAAAATCTCAACTTTCAATCGACAACAAACTACTAATCTACAAGACAATCCTGAAACCTATTTGGGACCTACGGAATAGAACTGTGAGGGACAGCAAAACTTTCTAACATCAAACGCATTCAATCCTTCCAGTCTAAAGTCCTTCGATCAATAGTCGATGCTCCCTTCAATGTATCCAACAAAACCCTCCATAATGACCTTCATATCCCATTTGTTATTGACCTAATCCCAGACAAATTTTCCAAATTTCACCAGAACCTCAGTCATCATCCGAATCCTGTAGCACAATCCCTACTAGCTCCACCCATCCCTACAATCCTCCCCGGAGGTTAAAACGGCAGTAGCCCCGCGACCTTATGTAAATGTTTATATATTGGAGTTCTGGCGATGGCCAGATTCTCCACTCAAGACATGAGTGTATGTTGGTGTAGTGCCCTCCATCAGTTTCCACTCGTTTCAAATAACAGTGACGCAGCTGAGAGAGAAGCACTGGGATCTCCTGGAGTCCTGCCTTGGCTTCCACATTGGGGGATAAAGCATGACTTAGAGTCCCCTGGGTGAATGTAAATATTGTATATAGGTGTGAATGCGTTTTATTTACTTTAATTTCATTTAGCTTTCATCTATTATTTCATATTCTTGTACACAACACAGGCATATCAATTTACTTATTTTATTTTTATTTTTCTTTATTATCGAAATCTTAGTTATTATTTGTACGTATTGTGTGAATGATACATGTAGCCTTAATATTAATGCCCTCTAATGTGACAGAATGAAATTAATATTCTTACCGTGACCAAGTCCAATTTTTAGTTTTTGAGATATTTTAGTCCATACCTTCAATAAAACTTGATATCGATAACTCCATAATTTTTCTGAGTAATATATCTCTCGTACCTATTTACACTTCCAGCGCTTTAGTTCAAACTTCGTCGGATAACCGTTAGAGATGACGCCACCTACACATCTCTTCTCTCTCCCCCTCCCTTGTAACGACTTTTATTCTCCCTGCGACACTTAAGGAGACAGGTAGTACTTCTTTTATTTCTTTCTTATTTCAGCTTTCTCAATTTCTTCCCTCCTTCCTTTCATTCCTTTTCTCTGTTTTTAACTCTTTATTATATTATACATTGTCTGTACATCTTGATAGACTTTACAATATCTCAATTTTCTATCTAACTACTTCATTCTCAATGTTTTAATTTTACTATTTATTTTCATTACTTATATAACTTCATATTTCTTTTTTATGTTTTACATTTTATTCTAAGATTCCCATTGTAACACTTTTGTCACCCTTTTTGATTATGCCTACTTCATCATTCCACACTTTGTAACGGTTTTTTTTTATTTATCTCTTAGTTCTTAGTCATTATTCTAACAATTTCATTTTATTTTATATTTATCTATTTTATTTTTATTTTTATTTATTTTTTTTATTATTTTTTTTTTACCATCATAACTTATGTTTCTCATACCTTGTTATCTGGTTATTTTCTTAGCCCTGATGAAGGCCTGAACTTCAGGTCGAAACGTCGGCATATGTAAAAAATAAATATTATCATTTATTTTTGCCTTCATTTTGGACTGACCACCCCAACTATTCTTCTCTTCATTATCCACGACAGTCAACCAATTACCAATTATAAAAAAAAAACTTGATATCATTTGGTTTTCAAAACTATTTTTTCGCTTTTCGCTCCTCTAACATGCCGTCGCCTTAAAATACAATTCAGAATGCTAGCTCATCACAAAGAAGAAGAAATGCTAAACATTTCCCTCATTTACAGTATGCAGTTAGGTTGCTTACAGTAGTCCTATATTGCAGGTCCAACTTATGGTTTCTGAGATATTTTAATCGATATGCAAAAACACTTCAATTAGTCGAATCGAGGCAACTTTACCCGATTGAGCAGTACATGTCAGAGCCTGCCGGCTCAATCTAATTCACTCTCCACAAAAATAGTGTAAAACGTGCCTAAAGAAGTTTTTACTTCAAAAAATATTTTTGGATTTTTGGAGAAAGAGGCTTTAGCCCAATGGCCTCCTCTCGCAAAATTATTTTTCAATTTTGATAGGGAAAGGCTTCAGCACAATTCTCCTCACAAAAATAATATTCCATTTTTTTGCCGGGCTTCAGCTCAAAAGTCCCTCTCCCCATAGATCCGCCAATGCCTCACAATATTTGTTCCTATTTTTAAGCTAATGTAGGGCAAGCAATACACAGCCGTTGAGCCAAAAGTACTCTTTTGTCATCTCCACAAACATTATCTTGAGTTTGGGCAATGAAATTTAAAAACGTTTTCTTTCCATATTTAAACTAAAGTTATTTCTGACTCTAAATGTTCGTCAAATGATGGTTTGTTGATTGATCATTAAGATTTCCATTATCACCTGTAAAAAGTATTCACTTAATATTAAACAGTAAACTATATTTAATAATTCGATATTACAAGTGAACTCAAATTTGTACTAATAGTACAAAAAAATATGAGTGAAATCATATGATTTGTACTATTAACCATCTTTATAAAACACTTACTAGTACTTTTAATTTGTATTTTGCAATTTTGTACTATGTTATCATAACACAAATACAAACTACTAGTACGATATTATTATCATTTACTAGTAAGTATAGCTATTGATGACTATAAGTCCTGATAGATTTTTCTTCCTTCTAAACGGTGGCAGAGAACAGAAACTTGTCAATGGATTAAGCCTGTTTTTAAATTAATCTTCTCAAAACTTATCTCTCTAAAAATAATCTAGCCACTTATTGACTTGTACCTTTTTCTTATCAATCCATAAAATAAACAATATTAGTACTTGTACTCTGTACTTTTTACTAATACTATCAGCTTGATTATGAAATAGTCAAGTCCCCTGGTCGTTCCTGAAGTGAGTATAAATCGCTGTCCATCGCTCCTGGTTTGAAGAATTGATTGATGGAATTAGCCATGAGTTTAGGAATTTGCCCTTTTTTGTTATTAGATAATGTACATTACAATTTTTGTAAACATTATGGTTTAATGTTCGTACTCAACTTTACTAAATTCATTTATGTTTGTCATGTTTAAACACTAAAAATATTATGGTATACTATATTCTAATTTTAATAAATGACTTAATACCTTTTTTTAGATCTAATTTTTTTTTTATGATCCATACTTTATAAAATTTAGATCTTCGTATCCGAGCCCGACTGATGAGTCTTTTCACCTGTATTTCCTGTGTTTTTACACCTGTACATTATGTGTGTTTTCATATGTGCAGATTGTATAGATTTATAATCACAGTGAGGACATTGATGAGGTTTCTCACCAGAATGATGGGTTATTGTATGGTTTTTCATATGTGCAGATTGTACAGCTTTATAATCACAATAAGGACATTGATAAGGCTTTTCACCAGTATGACGTGATATTATATGTCTTTTCAAATCCTGAGATTTAACGCATTTATGGTCACAGTGAGGACAGTGATGAGGCTTCTCGCCCGTATGACGGGACATTATATGCGTTTTCATATGTGTAGATTGTACAGATTTATGGTCACAGTAAGGACACTGATAGGGCTTCTCACCAGTATGACGGGCTATCATATGTTTTTTCAAATCCTGTGGTACCACGGCTTTATAAGCACAGTTAGGGCATTGATGAGGCTTCTCACCTGTATGACGGGACATTATATGTGTTTTCATGTGAGTAGATTTTACAGATTTATAATCACAGTAAGGACAGTTATGAGGCTTTTCATCAGTATGATGGGCTATCATATGTGTTTTCAAATCATAAGGTAGCACGGCTTTATAATCACAGTTAGGACATTGATGGGACTTCTCACCTATATGACGGCACATTATGTGTGATTTCATATGTGTAGATTGTACAGATTTATAGTCACAATGAGGACATTGATAAGGCTTCTCACCAGTGTGACGGGCTATTATATGTTTTTTCAAATCCTGAGGTAGCACGGATTTATAAACACAGTGAGGGCATTGATGAGGTTTCTCACCTGTATGACGCGCCATTATATGTTTTTTCAAATCTGGAAGTTTAACACATTTATAATCACAGTGAGGACAGTGATTACGCTTTTCACGAGTATGTCGGGCTGTTTGTTTTTTCAAATCTTGGGGAGTAACAGATTTATGATCCCACTGAGAACATTCATAGAACTTTTCATCTCTACAGCCACTTTCATGGGCACCTGTAAGCAATAAATTTTTATATTAAAAAAATTAAAAGAAACTATCCACTTATAGTAAATTAAGTATATCCATTTAATCAAGTGAAAAAATATTTATCATGCAGTGTTATGATAATTAGGTGGTTGTTAAAAAAGATTTTTTGATTTATAGACTAATTTATATAATAATAATAATAATTTATATAATAAAATATTATATAAATTGTGTGTGTGTATATATATATAATTAAATAGAATTATTCTTAATAACATAATTAAATAATTGTGATGATACCAATAACAGAATAAATAATCCTTAAAGATGGGTCAGAAACCTGAAACATCGGACTATAGCGATCATAAATAAATATTTACCAATGGAAGAGGTGTCTTCAATTATAGAAAATTAAGAACCAATTTAACTATTCCTAAAAAATAGATAAAATATTCTAAAAAAAAGTATCACAATTAAATAAGTTGTTCCCAGGAATAATGCAAACAAATAAAATGAAAAATTGAAAAAAAAAAATTAAATAATATTAGCGATAAAACGGAGCACAAACAATCAATTAGAAAAACAATAACAAACTCAATGGTATACGGGTTGAAATATTGACCACTTTTCATGTAAAATCTACCTGGAACCTTTTGTCATCTTCAGCAAAAGGTAAGAGGACGGGATGGCTGAACACGTAGGGGCATGGGTCTCAGAGTGCCCAGTTCTGAACGTTGTGGGTTACTTTTCATTTCCCGGGGGCGCTGGAAAATGGATCGTGACATTCACATTCTGGTTAATATATGGCGGCAACCTCAAGGTAGTCGTCAGGGGTTAGTAGAAAGGATCTCGATAGGCCCACTTGCAGGACTAGTTCCTCCCACCAGTACCAGTACATAAGGTAAACTCAGTTTTTGTTTCTTTTAAAAACCAAGAGAGGTCGAATATAAATCAACCAATTTATTATAAAGAGTCAAGCATGTATGTATAATAATTAAAAATCTTTAAAAAAAACAACTTACAAGTAGGATCCACTTCGACGGTCATTTCTTCCTTTGTGGAGGCGTCGCAGTTGCTTAAATCTAAACGAAATAAAATATAAATTTAAAATTAATCACATAATTACCGGGCCTTAGACATTTGGCGACCCCTGCCAATGAAGTCATCTTCCCTCCCCAAAAAGATTAATTAAATTTATTTCTTAAGCTATTTTATACTACGTAATACTTCTTCTTTGTCTACCTCTTATGCCATTAGTTAGTGTCGAGGAGCCTCAATCCAGCGTAATCTTCCTCGTCCCTGCTTAGCCGCTTCATCTCATTGATGGTTTTACCTCTTTTACATCCAATTCTTTGAATATACTCTTGGTATGTAATTCTGGGACATACGCGTGGTTTCCTTCCTGTGGGTCGAGCCTCTAATATCTTTATAGGATTCATGTTCCTGTTCATGCAGCAGACATGTCCAAACAACTGGAGTTGCCGTCTTTCTAGAGTGGTTTTAAGTATGGTAACTCCTAGTTGCTCTCTGATGCTTTCGTTCCTAATGCGATATATATTATGTAATACTTGAATTTTATTTCATTTTACATTTCTCAAATGCAGTTGATTTATTGATAAGCTAAAGTTAATTATTTTAATATGTTTTTATTTCTGTTGTTTTTTTTTTTTTTTGTTTCTTACAAGTGGCGAGCTCCCTGGAAGATCGGTTGGTGCCCCCAACAAGCGCCTATTCTGGTCGGCACCCTGGGGCACTTGCCACGATTGCCCCTCCCTAAGGCTGGCACTCATTAAACTAAATAAGCAAAAACACAACCTCAAGTTGTGGGATCATTTACATATCGATTCGCACAGATGAGGAACATTGCTGAACTAGATAGGATAAGCTTTGTAAATTGATAAACCCACTAAGTTTAATGATATTTTCAAAGTTAACAAAAATATTTAAAAGGTAACTAATTTAACACACCTAAAAATGGTACAGCACATAAAGTGAAAAAATAATAATAACAATAAAGAAATTAATTGATAATTTTAAACAGGTTCACATAAAGTCAATATTCTCCTTACCATCATCATCCTCCTGTATTTTCTCTTCTTTGATATAAATTGTGGGAACTGAAACAAAATTCAATTATTATTAAATTTGAGGTGGCTATCATTGTATAATTGTTAAAATAGTAATTATAACAGGAGATTATATACAGTATAAATAAAAATGATAACAGGAGAAAAAAGTGATAAATCCTTTATAGTGAAGTGGATAAACAATAAAGGAGGAATATTTGATAAACAAATAGACCAAAGTAAACATAGAACAGCTAATACAATCAAAGCCCAACTGCAGATATATAAACAATATTTATAAAAACAAAATAAAAGATTTAATTACACAATGCCACCTATATCGCTACAACCCATTAAAGGTCTTAGGTTCAGTACTTTGTTAGCAAGTACTGTTTACAGAGATCAAGCTCAACTCCTGAGTTTTCTTCCAGAATTAATTATTTTTAATTAAGGATAACCACTTTATAAAGGCTGGATGCGCCACGGAAGGTCTCACGACCTCAGGGTCAATCCACGGCCGACGAGACAGAATAAGTAATTTGTCTGCCATCAGACGGGATTTGAACCCCGGACATCATTAGAAGTCAGAGCTTAATTAATTAGTTCATTACACTATAACAAATTCAATTCTTTTTAAAGTCCATTTTTTACAAAAAAAAAGAAAGTGCATACTAAAACTTAATTTTTACTTAGTAGCTAAGGTAGAACATATATAAAAAGAGATTACAGGAGATAAATAATCAGGAACCAGTAATTTTTGATATTTTTTATTGTTGCCAAAGTTTTAACCTGAACATGTGGATCATCATCAGAACTGAAACAATTTTTTAAAATAATTTTTCTATTTGGTGCCAGTACTTTAACCACCTTGGGTACTGCAAACATGATTACTAATGTTAAATATCACATTATATATAAGGTCTCCTCTCTTGTTTTCCCCCACTTCGACTATGGCTGCATGGTGTATGGTGGACTCTCGGGAGAACTCAAAGCCAAACTTAAACGTTTAACGAATTGCTCGATCCGCTTTATCTTCGGGATCTCAAGAGATACGCATATTACCCAGTTCTACACCAAGTTGAAGTGGCTTTATCCGTCCTACCGCCGTCAATATTTTCTGGCTACCTTCCTATACCGAGCCTTTACAACACGGCGACCTGCCTATATTCTACAGATCCTACAATTCAAACGCTCCTTTCAATCCTGTCCTACCAGATTCCGTGCGTCCGACCTCTATCCTCCTCCTCACCGAACTGCTGCATTTGATAAATCCTTTTTAATACAAGTTGTCTCCCTCTGGAACTCTATATCTTCAGATATTCGGCACGCGAAATCTATATCCTCTTTCAAATCTCACCTCTTCAAACACCTACTCCATTCCCAATCCGATTGATCACGAAATGCACTTAAAAACCTAAGCTGTAAAAACCTCAAAGTACATTCAGATACTCTGATTGTTTTGTAATTCATCGATATTTCGTTCACTCACTTAATTACTTTCTCTGTATATTTTATATTTATACGTATTTATATATTTTTATCATTTATAACTTTATTGTACTCCGAATCAACCTATACATATTAAATTGTATTTCATGGACACACCAAAATATTAATATATATTCTGTATTTGTGACTTGTTCTAAAGGGACACTAGTCCCAGAATAATAAAATTATTTTCATTCATTCATTCATTATATATAAGTTGATCATGTACATTACATTATAGTCTGTTTAACTTAGTATTAAGTATTCTACATGATATCTCATATATCATCCAACACTATTTACCACTAATATTTTATTTATATATTATATCTCTGTAGTAGACATCTCCCTGTATTTACTCCTTCATATGACAATGTGTGAGGGAATGAGAAGGAATATGTAATATATAGGAATGTGAGATAGCACTGTGAATTGTACTCAATTGTGCAGTGGACAAATTGCTCATTGGAAAATCTCACATCGATAAAGAATCGAAAAGAAGAAAAGGTCTGATCAGGTAGCTGGCAACAGATGGCGAGGACGACGCCAAACACTTCAGGCCTGGACACCAACACAAGAAGACGTCATCTGGGAAGAGAGGCTTACTACATTGAAGACCAAGATTATCAAGCCGACCGTTCACTTATATATATTCATTTATTATCAATTGTTAAAATAAATTTGTTTTGTTAGACAAGAGTGAATAGTCATTTTATTTAGTTGTCCTATAGGCCTCACAATTGAAGAATAAACCAGGTGAGTCAATTCATTCAAAGTGTTTACTAAGTCCCACATTTCATATATATATATTCTTATTGTTTCTTCTCACACAGTGTCATAAAAGGTAATAGATCCCCGAATTCCCAATCACAGTTAAACACCCTCAAAAAGTCTATATCCAGTGCCGGGATTTTGTTTTAATGATTCACGAGTGTAAATAACCTTAAGCCCCGATATAAAAACGGAAGGCTATGCGCCTGTTCCCGCCAAAACTAATCATTTACATTTAACTTCCTGTAGGTTATTTACATCTCTGATGTTATTTATAAAAGAAAAATATTTCAGCCCTAATAATGACCCACATGTTTGCGTTGAAACGTAGGCAACAATAAAAAAAAATCTCAAAAATGACTGCTTCCTGATTATTTATCTCCTGTGATATGTGATACAGTCGACTAACTTCCTACAATAATAAAAACTTATAAAAATAAAAACTCGTGAAAATATAACGTATAATGGGTAATACAATCGATTTTCTTACCTTCCTCTGGGACTAACATCTCGCTTTCCTGTTTCACACCAACAAGACCACCTGCAAATAAATAAACGTTTATAAAAATACAATAAACGTTGGGGCACAAATGCCCTCACCGTGCCCGAGCCACACCTTGGCTGAGTGTTGGTGCGGGATTATCTCCAACAATAAATAGCAGTAGTTCTCAAATCTACAAACAGAGGCTGCACTATACCCGGTCACTTTATAGTCGATGTTTTCTAGTGGTAAGTTATAAATAAAATTTAAAAAGTTAACTGAAGAAAGTTTCCAAATCTATATGATCAATTCACTATTACTTAAATGTTTAAATATATTTCAACAATACTATATAGTCACATCAAATAGTAAATAAGAGTGAAATATACATTTAGGTTAGGTTAGGCCATGTGATCATGTGCGGTATCAACGATACGGTGATGCGGCTTGAAAGTGGCATATGTTTTAACATTAAAAGTTTTGTTTAAGAATAACAAATTACAGTATTTTGTAATAATATTTTTAATAAAAATAAAGTTAATTTGAAAATAAAATTATTATTAGGTATCCAAATTTGAATTTAATCTTTTAAATAAAAAAAAAGATTTATTATAAACCTTATAAAAATAAAACATATGATAGCTTATACAATTAATTTTCTTACCTTCTTCAGGGATTAGCACCTCGCTTTCCTCTTTCACCTGAACGAACTCACCTGCAGATTTATAACAAAAACAGTAATTATAACAACAAAATAAAAGGCTTTATTACAGAATAATCAATTTTGTGGTATTATGTATTTAGATTTTTAACAAAAATAAAACAAATTTTTTATTTATTGGATTGTCTGAAAATAATGCAGGATTTTGAACTGTTTACGTTTACTGGATTATTCATCTGTATGAATTTCAACACTTACTGATCCTCTTCCAAACGATAAGGTTAGTTTACCTCTGTAGCATTTCACTGCTTTGAAATAATTCAGTCTTTATAAAGACGACAATGCGGGATTTTTGTATAATTTTGTTTTATGAGTTTAAACTAGGTCGAAATGGGACCTAGACAACTAGAAGCATCAATCAGGACTGGGCCGAGAGCAGCATTAATTTCGGGAGGGAGACTTCAGCCTTAAATACAAAGTAGGTCATGGAAGGACTTCCTCTCTTGATGACGATGTTCTGCGGGCTTTGGTGGAAGAAAACACCAGAACAACTGTTCGAGAATTCGCAGAGATACTTAACCTAAGCAAATCGACTGTCGATGACCACCTCAAGGTGATTGGAAAGGTAAAAAAGCTTGAAAGTTGGGTTCCACACACATTAAACGACAGGTAAAAACAGCGTTATAAAGTTTGTACAACACTTCTTTGCCGAAACAAAAACGACCCTTTTCTGTCCAGAATTGCTACTTGTGATAAAAAATAGAAACTTTATTAAACAGCAGACGTTCTGGGCAGTGGCTCGACAAAGGAGAAGCAGCAGAACATTTTCCAAAGCCACCAGCTCATCAAAATAGGTGATGGTTACTGTTTGGTGGTTTTCATTTGGTTTGATACACTACACATTCTTAAATCCTGGAGAAACCATCAATGCTGAATTGTATTGTAACCAAATTAATGCAATGCATCAGAAATTGGCAAAAATCAAGCCATTCTTGGATCAATCTGAAGGGGTCCATTTTGTTGCATGACAACGACCGCCCACATGCCTCAAGTGTGACTTCACAGAAACTATTGAAACAATTTTTTTAGACACCTGGACCACTATGTACGTGACAACAAATTTAATGGACAAAGGGAATCAGAAAATGCATTTTTGGAGTTTATCAATTCTTAAGATGGGAAATTCTATTCCGAGGGAATGGAAAACGTGCCAATACATAGGCCAAAATGTATTGATAGTAGTGGGGACTAGTTTGATTAAATAAAACAGTTGTAAATCTTTCTTTTTAAACCAAAATCAGGTATAATTTTCTGGACAACTCCATAGCATCCAAATTAGGACAAATATTAAAAAAAAAAAAATTATTATGTTATATTAATATTTTATTGTAGACATAAAACATATTATACCATATTCCCAATATATTTTCGTTGACGACTTCCAAATGTATCTCTCTTTCTCGCCTTCCAATCTATTACCAGTCACAAGAAAACTTCAAAAAGACTTAAATAGAATCTGTGACTGGGCAGAAGCTAATAAGTTAAGTTGAATGCGGAGAAGACGAAGGCAATCCTAACAGGCTCCAATCATATCCTTAAAAATTGTCATATCCTGATCCCGACCTTGTATCTAAACAATAATCCTATCAAATTTTATCCTACCATTAAAAACCATGGAAAAATCTTTGATCCCCCACTTTACAACTGTTGTGCAATATATGGTGGTGTCCCTGGTAGGGATGGGTTGATACTAAAATTTTTGTATCTAGATACAACTGATACGGGTACTTTTTTGTATCTGATACTTTTGTACCTGATACAAATGGGTCAGTAGTTGCTCATGACCTTCCTACTACTTTTTATCTGATACTAGTATCAGATATTTTTATCTGATACTGGCATCAGATACTTTTATCTGATATTTGTATCAGATATTTTTATCTGATATTTGTATCGGATATTTTTATCTGATATTTGTATCAGATATTTTTATCTGATACCCGCATCGGATACTTTTATCTGATATTTTTATCTGATACCTGGACTAGATACCCAGCGGTATGCATACTGGCGCTTGGGCTTATTAGTTAATATATAATAGTTCTTATGACTTTATAGTTATGTCAGGTACTATGAAGATATTCACACAGTTTTTTAAACAAAATGTGCTTCATATTTGACAAAAGAACAGAATATATTAAATAAAAATATAACAAATTCATGCAGAGAAAATATTTTTCTAATACAACGTTCTTAAGAATTTTGTAACAATTGAAAAAATTCTTAATAGCTAAGTTTAACATACTCACACACACATATATATCTTTTATTTTCACCGATCAATCTACATCTTGGGATTTAGATTATATAGTACTTGTATAATGTTTACAATACTATTATTGTATTCTTTGAACATATTAAATTACATATGTAAACCATTTAAAGTAAATATTTATCCACTCTTTTATTATTATTTTTTTCATTAATTCAATGGTATGACAGCAAAAGTAATTTATCGCTCATTTCAAATTTCAGTTAAAATTCCATAGTTTATTGTTTTTAGTAACTATCTCGCTGTATTGGGATCTTATTGCTCATATTATGTCTTTAATATATCAGTATAGTTATGTAAATACTTCTGTTATTACTTATTTTTTATTATTTTTTTTTTTTTTTTATTGTAATATGCATTTTGGCCAGATGTTATGTTAATTTTTATGTACAATATTGTTATTCTCAAGGGACTTTGTCCCAGAATAAAGTTGATTCTTTGATTCTTCTATTCTATATATATATTTATTTTTTCTGTTTGTATTACAGACCATGTAGATCTTTTGCCACCTTAACAAGTATGGTCAATATCTGCCTGTCTTGGGCTACTTTTTTCCATTTATCTGCACGCAGCTCTATTGTGTCTTTGTTGATTCTATCTATCCATCTGCTTTTTGGCCTTCGACGTGGTCTTTTGCCTACTATTGAGGCTTTCATTGTTAAGGTAGGAGCTACATGGCCCGTCCATCTTTATCTCTGTGCCTTCATATCATGGGAGATTGATTGACCATATTTCTGGAAGCAGTTCTTTATTGGTCTTTCTTCTCCATGTGTCAGTACTCTGATCCCAGATATATATAAAACAAAAATAGCTTAGAAAAATTTGAACTTTTAACTTAATTAGTTTGAAATGAAATGAAATTAAGGAGAATGTTATTGACATATTATAATAATTAATTTCACTGCCGATAAAGACTTTTGACTTTATAAAAACAAACATTTATTAACTTTGTGGTAAACATATTTACATCAAAACAAATTATTTAACAACTTCAATAAAATCTTAATTAAAATAAGTAGCTGACAGGTAAATATAATGTAATATATATTTTTTATACATATCTCATTAAATTAAGCATTGGATTGATACTAGTTACTGGACAATAAAATATATATTAAATATGTGCCGATATATATTTTATTCCTTTAGTGCCATATTTGTCCCTGTAATAAATACTTTACAATCAATAAACTTATGAATTATATTTCAAAAAAACTAGCTTTTTTACTTTTTCTGAGGACAGCTGAGCCCTCCTTTCGTTTAAAATATTGCTGGTTTTACAAAAATCCCTTTCACATAGCACTGATGTTGCCACTGTGCAAAATTTTTGTCTAACAATTTTTGACAGAAATGGAAAATTGTAGGAATGTTGCAGGGAAGCAAAACCCTTGTTACAGCTACGTTCCTCGATCCCAGATTCAAAAATATAGCTTTCCCTTCAGAAAAACTTATGAATTATATTTCAAAAAACAAGCTTTTTTACTTTTTTTTGCTGTTTCGGCTGTTTTTTCTGAAGGGAAAGCTATATTTTTGAATCTATGCCTCAATAATAGGCAAAAGACCACGTCGAAGGCCAAAAAGCAGATGGATAGATAGAATCAACAAAGACACAATAGAGCTGCATGCAGATAAATGGAAAAAAATAGCCCAAGACAGGCAGAGATTGACCATACTTGTTAAGGTGGCAAAAGATCTACATGGTCTGTAATACAAACAGAAAAAATAAATATATATATAGAATAGAAGAATCAACTTTATTCTGGGACAAAGTCCCTTGAGAATAACAATATTGTACATAAAAATTAACATAACATCTGGCCAAAATGCATATTACAATAAAAAAAAAACAACACAAAAAAACTAAAAAATAAGTAATAACAGAAGGATTTACATAACTATACTGATATATTAAAGACATATCATGAGCAATAAGGTCCCAATACAGCAAGATAGTTACTAAAAACAATAAACTATGGAATTTTAACTGAAATTTGAAATGGGCGACAAATTACTTTTGTTGTCATGCCATTGTATTAATGAAAAAAATAATAATAAAAGAGTAGTTAAATATTTGCTTTAAATGATTTACATATGTAATTTAATATGTTCAAAGAATACAATAATAGTATTGTAAACATTATACAAGTCCTATATAATCTAAATCCCAAGATATAGATTGATCGGTGAAAATAAAAGATATATATGTGTGTGTGAGTATGTTAAACTTAGCTATTAAGAATTTTTTCAATTGTTACAAAATTCTTAAGAACGTTGTATTAGAAAAATATTTTCTCTGCATGAATTTGTTATATTTTTATTTAATATATTCCGTTCTTTTGTCAAATATGAAGCACATTTTGTTTAAAAAACTGTGTGAATATCTTCATAGTACCTGACATAACTATAAGGTCATTAGAACTATTATATTTAAAAATGGTGTAAAATATTTATTACAGGGACAAATTTAATAATAAAGGAATAAAATATATATAGGTACATATTTAATATATGTTTTATTAGGTATCAAATAGGTATTAAAATATCAAACCCGATCAATAATCAATTACAGTTTTATTAAAATATCTGATACAATTTTTGAAATATCAAGCCCAAGTGCCAGTATGCATACCACTGAGTATCTAGACCAGGTATCAGATAAAAGTATCTGATACAAATATCAGATAATGGAAAGAAATAACCCAAGACAGATAGAGATTGAGCATACTTGTTAAGGTGGCAAAAGATCTACATGGTCTGTAATACAAACAGAAAAAAAAAAAATTATATATATATATGTGTGTGTGTGTGTTAAACTTAGCTATTAAGAATTTTTTTAATTGTTACAAAATTCTTAAGAACGTTGTATTAGAAAAATATTTTCTCTGCATGAATTTGTTATATTTTTATTTAATATATTCCGTTCGTTTGTCAAATATGAAGCACATTTTGTTTAAAAACTGTGTGAATATCTTCATAGTACCTGACATAACTATAAAGTCATAAGAACTATTATATATTAACTAATAAGCCCAAGCGCCAGTATGCATACCGCTGGGTATCTAGTCCAGGTATCAGATAAAAGTATCCGATGCGGGTATCAGATAAAAATATCTGATACAAATATCAGATAAAAATATCCGATACAAATATCAGATACAAATATCCGATACAAATATCAGATAAAAATATCTGATACAAATATCAGATAAAAGTATCTGATACTAGTATCAGATAAAAATTTCCGAAATTAACATTACATAGAAAAAATAAAATAAGCGTGAATATATTTATCTACAAATAAATATTTAATTAAATTAAACTAAATGAATAGATAGTTCTAAAGAAATTGTGCACAACTAAAATTATAACTAAACCTTTCTCTTATATCAATGTGGCATGTCTGGACAACCATTTTGTATCCATGTGAGCATCAGATACTTTTGTATCAGATACTTTTTGGTTGTATCTACTGGTTGTATCAGATACTTTTTTAGTATCAGATAAAAGTATCTGATACATACAATCCGACCCATCCCTAGTCCCTGGTGACCTTGATGTTTTATCTTCGGGATCCAAGGGACACCTCTTTCTCCTGTTTTCATGAAGAGTTAAACTGGATTATCCTTCCTCTTTCAAGTCATCCAATCCCAACGTCTATAATAAATTTCCGAGCTCCTTCAATTCAAATCCTCGATTCATTCCCACAATACCGTGACATTCATCAGATCTTTCATTATCTAATCCTTGTCCTTATAGAATTCTATCTCTTCCCACATCCATCGCTCCAATAGCCTCCCTACATTAAAATCCTACCTCTTAAACCATTTTCTGTCTGTCTAATTCCCAAAAGATTGTAAATAGATAAGTTTGTAAATAAGTGCATAATTTTTGGATTTTTTTATCTTATTTTATTTTTTTAAAGATATATCATCCTTTTTATTCTATTTGTTAATATTAGAGACTATGAGAAGATTTATCTCTGATATCATCTTTTTATTTCTGTATCAGACAACTTATTCTTATTTTATATCTACTTATATTCATTTATTTTCACCATATTTTGTATCTTTGTAGTCCTGATGAAGACCTGCAAAGTGGGTCGAAACATCGGCAAAATTAAATAATTATACTTGTTTAATTTAGTATTAATTTGACCGCACCCCCCCAATCGACTCCTTCTCATATTATATCAACGGTCAACCATCTCTACATCATTATTAGAGACTATGTTAAGATTTCCAATTATTTCTATTTGTATGTTCTTTTCCTTGTTACTCTAAGAATCTAAGACCTATAATTTTGTTCTTTTATATTGCTCAAAAGGGACCTGTTCCAGAATAAATAAATAGTTGATTATTATTACAATGGTTCGTACGTACTATCAATTATGCCACCTTCCTCATGGACTAGCACCTCATTTTCCTGTTTCTCCTCGACAAAGCCACCTGCAGATTTATAAACAATATTTTTAACAAGACAATAAAAGGTTTTATTACAGAATAACAAATTTAAGTGTATTTTTAACATTGTTTCAATAGAAAAAAAAGGTAAATTAAAACTTAATTTTTATTCAACATCCAAGGTAATACACATTATTCTATATAATGTGTTATTATACATAAAATACACGTTAAGAAGCAATAAAGGTATTAGTTCCATTTTGCTACTCCAATAGCGGCCGGTTTCAAGATCATTCTGAGCACAATATTCCCAAATTCTTGAGAAATGTCGAAAATAGTAAATTTTTTTTCTTAAAATGGTAGGAAGAATATAAACCCTCAAGAGTTGGGGATTAGTTGCCTCCATCAACTTTTGGACACACTGGAGTATTTCTAAGGATCTAGTAAATAGAATAGATCGAAATTGGCCGCCATCTTGGAGTAACAAAACAGAACAAGGAAATTATTGATCTAGTTTTATGAATGGGCATCAAGATCACATGATCGCACGGAGCATATACAAGAGTAGACCTACCTCAAATGAAAACAATCCAATTGGGATTTATTTATCTCTTATAAACAAGTATAAGTCAAAAGCAGTGATGTAATAAAAGTTAATTAAGATCCATATTTTATCTGATAAAGACCAGATGGAAGTTTGCAGAAGGCATAATCATGATATAAATAAAAGAAGGTTACACCCATAAAAAGGTCAATAATAAAGCCATTCTCAGATTTCCGTTAATAGTGTGATCCTGAAATCTTGTCACATATCAAAGTGGATCAACATTTGAACAGTAGTACCAAAATTAGTACTGTAATCAAAATTATGAGGATCCTATAAAACTTTTTAACATTTTAATGGTAGTAAAAATAAAAACGTACATGCAGAATTGGTATTATCAGCCATTTCTTTTTATACAGAAACACCACGGCGACTTATTCCTGAAAAATAAAATACATGATGAATATTAGCTTTCAGACATATAAAGATACAATGAAATCATAACACATTGCAAACTTGACTAAGAATCTACTAACAATATTAAAATAAATGATTTAGAGTGGTTTTATAATAAACTGTAAAATATTAGGTTGTCCAGAAAATAATGCAGGATTTTGAGTTTTCTTTAAAATAGCCCTCTATATAACAAACTGTTTACACTTACTGGATCATTCATTTGTATGAATGTCAACACTTATTAATTCTCTTCCAAATGATAATGTTTGTTTACCTCTGTAACATTTCGCTGCTTAGAAATAATTCAGTCTTTACTAAGATGTCAACACGTGATTTTCATATAATTTCGTTTTTAACTGTTCCAGAACTTGCAGAGAAACTTACCTTAGAAAATCGACTGTCGGTGATCACCTCAAGGTGATTGGAAAGGTAAAAAAGCTTGAAAGTTGGGTTCCACAAACGTTAAACGACTGCCAAAAAACCCATCGTTATGAAATATATGCTACACTTCTTAGACAAAAACAAAAACTACTCCTTCCTGTCCAGAATTGTTACTTGTGATGAAAAGTAGAGACTTTACGATAACAGTAGGCATTCCGGACAGTGGCTAGAAAAAGGAGAAGCAGCAGAACATTTTCCAAAATCCCCAACTCATAAAAAAAAGTGATGGTTACTGTTTGGTGGGCTTCATTTGGTTTGATACACTACAGCTTCTTAAAACCTGGAGAAACCATCAATGCCGAATCGTATTGTAACCAAATTAATGCAATGCATCAGAAATTGGAAAAAATCAAGCCATCTTTGGTATAATTTTTTTAGACACCTGGACCACTACTTACGTGACAAAAAATTTAATGGACAAAGGGAATTAGAAAATGCATTTTTGGAGTTTATCAATTCTGAAGATGAGAAATTCTATTCCGAGGGAATAGAAAAGTTGCCAATATGTAGGCCAAAATGTATTGATAGTCATGGAAAGTAGTTTGATTAAATAAAACAGTTGTAAATTTTTCTTTTGCTGATTAAACCAAAACCCTGCATTATTTTCCGGACAACCCAATACATAAAACATAAATTCTAATTAATTTTAATGTTCGATGACTAGCAACTGACACAATTCATTGAAAGAAATAATACCCATTAACATAACCTATTTAACAAATTTGTTTAATAATTAAGTAAACATAATTTATTTAACAAATAGTATACTCAAAACTGGGGCTAATGTAGCAGAATGGTTAGCGCGCTACACTAGTAAAGCAAAGATCATAGGATCGAATCCCGACCATCTTCCCAATACGGTTGGTTCCCGCTGGAAGTTAGACCATTACCCTCTTAATTAAGGGAGGCCTACAGCTATAATACTTGTAAGAACAGGCTATATAAAAAAAAAAAAATTCAAAACTACCACAGGGCCTAATTTTAAAACTACTCAATTTCCAATCATACAGAAAATGGTTAGATATATTTAAAACTTCTCACACAATCAATAGTCATTTTAATAATACCTAAAACAAATGATCAAATAATAAAATTTAAAAATAATTTACTATGTTCTGACCATTTTGCCTATGTTTGATGTCATAAAGTTCTCATCTTTCATAAAGTGTTGATAATATGAATACTTTATAAACAAATACACTTAACAATATTTCGATGTATATAAAAAATAAATAATTAAATTTTAACCCATGCCTAATTCAAATCAGATTTTAATAAAGAAAAACCCCTCTCCTTTTGGTGTTGCCACCACGACGCTCGCTCTTAATCAGTACCACCGTAGATGACCTCGTAGAGCACCAAGATGAGTAAAAAAAAGAAAAGAAAATAGCTAAAGAAAAGTAAAAAATAGTGACTAAGAATTAAATGAGAGAAAACAGATTAAGGGAATAATAAAAATGTAAAACATAAATGATTGATAAAATCAGCAGATAAATAATGTGTTATGCATATAGAATATAAAATTAACGGTTTTAATTGTATAAAATTAGATTGTATTACAATGAAAACAAGTTTCAAACTTAAAAATGGCACAAACACTGACTGAAAATAGGATATTGTGAAAAACAACAAAACAGTGGTGGAAAATAATGGCCTTGACTTTATTAAAAACGATAAGCATACCATGCTTGAAATGTCACAACTAAATGTTTTTCACAAATTAAAAGCTAACTTACACAAATTAATTCGCCAATTTTCATGAAATAAAACAATTCCCTGCCAATATACCTTTAGTTTGATAAAATACCTTCCTCCCTAATTACCAAGAGACACCAAAGAGGATAAACACCTTCAATCAGTAAGTTGTCTAAACTAATTAAGGTGCGTTTAGACATTTCACAAACTATACAAAACACAATTATCCTCTTTAACTAATAGCGACATTAGCTCTTAGCCCAAATTTTTTTTTGTATACCTCTTGTTCGAAAGCTGATGGAAAACATGAAAAAAATAAGTATAAGAGGAAAAAATATTTGTTTCCTTCAGTTTATGAAATGCCTAAACATACTTTTAAATAAACATTTCTATTCTTAATTTTTCATTTTTTTTAATGCACATGAAATTCACTTTTGTGCATGAGTAAACAAAGATACGTGTGGGTCAGTCCAGACCTTGCTACCGAGAAGCTTGTCTTTCCACCTTAAACGGATACATTGTTCGTGCATGGCTAAGTTTCGTTGTAAAATTTCCTTCAATGATGAGCTTAAAGAAGTCATTTTCAAATTATTTCGCAACAGAAACTGCGACACTAGTATTCCAAATCTGCGTTCATTCTCAAGTCACCGTACTGGAGAACCTTCCTGTTGATGCTCTAAGGTGAATATCCAAGAGGTGTAAATTATAATTTCCATTTCTCTGTGAATACCCGTATATCGTATGTAGTTCATATGTAATCGTTTGCTGTTCGTAGGTTAGTCCTTCAACACACATCATCCTGTCCCAACCTCTCTTCGAAATTATCCCATTAAGTTAGAGTTATTCTGATACATCCTCTTATACACCCATATCGATAATATCAAATAAATTTTGCTTTTGTGCTAATTTAATTTATTAATCACATACCCTTTCATCCCCTTGCTGTTTGTTCGTCTGACATTCATTAATAATTCAAAGGAGGAGACTACACTCGAAAAAGTGGTGGTTTTATAAACTTTTCTGAGCCTCCTTCATATCGCCAATATTTAGCTTATGAATATTTATGTAAACGAGCGATTTGGCGTCAGAATCCATGGTGTTGTAGTCCGATGTACCATTAGTTGCATTTACCTGAGCGTTCTTAAAAAAAAAACTTTATCAATCAGATGACCTACCACCGAGAAATTTTAGTCAGTTATGGTCAATAATATTACTTTGAGCAAATAGCTGGTTCTCCCATCCTGTCTTGTAAACATACCCCTTGATTAGTTATATTTTTGGTTAAATGTCAGATATTGATATCATAATTAACTAGTTCAAATAGTTTTAGTATCATTAGCCTAGTGTTATAAATTATATAATAATATATTCATTGTACTTTATACGAAATAAAGTTATTTATTCACATAAGCTACTTTAATTGCTCATATAATTACAACTACTTTCTGTGTTTCTTAAAACCTGAAGGAACACTATGTTTATAGACTTGATGGATGAAAGAAAAGTACGCAACTTAATTTTTAAAAAAAATATGGGCAAAGCATGCCTAAGCACAATATTACAAAGTAAAATATTAAGAGTAAGGGCAATGGGAAGGCATATAGAAGTCTTCAAACAATAAGTTACAAATAAAAAACCTAAAGTATTATGGATTTTCGAAAAATTATCAAGTCATCAACTTAAATCTTTAGTCCAGTAACTTTGTCATGAAAAGGGGGCTCTAAGTTGCATTGAATAGGGCTAGAAGGTTTCTTTTTTTTCTTGTATGGGATGTGACTGAGATACAAAATCTAAGTTTTCAACCTCGCCCTCCCCACGGATTACTTTTAAAAACCCCCGAAACTGCTATATTTTCCCACTTTTTTTTGTCTTTTTCCTACTTTAACAATTAAGGAATAAGTTTTAGACAAGAAACATTCTATACAGTTTTAAACCAGATTAAATATGCTACAATTTAAGACCAAAATTGATTCAGTAAGTTAAATAATATATGTGATGCAGATTTTAAAAGTTTTGGAAATTTTTTGAACTCGAAGTTATTTTTCCTGTTTGATCACATGCACTTATTTTTATATCTTCAATAACCTATCTTATGTGATTCAGTGAAGTAAATTTATCTTAATTTTAATGCTAAAGTGAATTGTCTTGAGTAGGTTCCTTAACTCAGTAATGAGTTCATCAATGGCTTCGTTTTGCTCTGTTTAGAGATCTATTCGATGGCATCGATGAGCTCAGTGCTAATTTCTCCCTCTTAAACGAATGTAATCCTTGTATCTATTAATCTCTAGTGAAACACTTTACTTTATCTGTTAAATGAAAGGTACTGTTTAAATTAAACAGATTGCCACTAAACACCCCACCACTAGCCATATCCCATAAAAGATAATGAAAAGAAATCTTCTATTCCCATTCAATGCAACTTATGATGTAGGAGGTTACTGGGCTACTTATTCAATTAGTTTTAATATGAGGTACTGTGGTTATAATACTTCTACATTAAATGCATTCCTTTACTATTTATGTATTATATGAATATATTTTATATAATATATTAATGTATTCCTTTTATATTTATAAGTGATTATTAAATTTATTCTTACATTAAATGTTACTATATATTTATAATCTATGACTGTTTTTTGAAAATTCAAAAACAACTTGCTGACCGAAGGTGTTTAACCTCTTTGGAATTCTAAAGTAATGGAAGGTAATCTGCCATTATTTGTATGGCAGTAGTAAGGTTATGTTTGGCTGAAGATTAGATTGGCTCGAGATAGGATTTTTTGTATTATTAAAATTTATCTTTTATTTGTTGTAAGTTTGCTTTTTAATTTGCGAATTATTTCATTGTTAATAGTTGTTATTTTAAAATATGAATAGCCATTACAAATGTGAAATAAAATTAAATAATTTTAGATTAGGATATAAATGTAATTAGTTGATCATGCTGTCAACTACATAAATATATATTTACATCATATTCAATTAAACACTACAACAACAGAAGCTTAATTACTATTTTATAGTGTCAGGGATCAAGTAAACTTGGTGCCTTAAGTATTATATTCAATTTGTTAAAAAAAGTTAATAGGTTGAAAAACAAATTATAAAAGTGCTCTGGCACTTTAAAATTTATTAAAACAAAAAATTTCAAACTAAATTCTAAGTAACTACAAAACTAAACAGGCCACTATAGAATGCTACATTTAAAATACTGTAGCCACCACAAGATCTTAAGCCTCTTTTTATTTAGTTCTGAATAAAGCATTTTTTTATAAAATAAGTTAGATTAAATTTTTTCGCAATAACTTGTTTAAGTTGGTGAACATAGGAAATCGAAATCTTAGAGTACAGTAATTTATGTACTGAGTATTTAAACCAAATGTTGAAATTAACAATTTATGTTAAAATTTATCCATTCCATTGTTTTTTTTGTTTTTTTTCCTTCCCTTCCTCACCGTTAAGGCTATACGAGATTTTCCCGAGCCAGGGGGTGTGAGCAGTCGGTCCTGTCCAGCTATTATACAAGTACCCATTTATTTTCACATTGTTAGTTGGATCCATGTACTTCACATTACGAGTATTGTTCCACATTGATGAATGGGCTAACATCTCATGATCCTGCTATGAATGGGATTCTGAAAATGGCTTAATGTTGAAATTTTTAGAACACAACTCCTCCTTATTTAGAAAACGATTTATGACTTCTGCTAACTCCCAGTTGGTCCTTATCAGTTATATCGCTGCTTTTGAGTTCTGTCTGCCCAAAAGGAATAAATAAACGCCGAACGGGTCCTTACCAGATATTTTGGTCACCTCGTGTCTTCTTCCCAGTCTCAGTATTATATTTACAGTGTGATAATCAGATCTTGTGCTATTCATCAAAGTGGAGCTACACTTGTACAGTAGTACTATCGTCAATGAATTATCCAACAGCAGTATGGTTACATTTATTATATCTCTTGTCAGATAATTAAATATTCATCGAGTATTTTATTTTATTTTTCAGATGCAAGTCGGGTTGTTCCTGTTTTAAAAGAAATGTCTGAAGAAACCAAGCCTTCATGTAAGTTTTTGTTTACTATAATTTTGATTCTACAAAATTTTATAGGATCCATATATTTATAACTACATTGTTATATATACCTATTTTATATTATGTGTATCACAAGATTAAGACTTGAATAGGGCTGATCTTAAACTAAATTAGATTTCAAGACAGGTTTTGAAACAAAATAGTACACGGTACAGACCCCAAATTATTAATACCTGCCTACAATTTCGTTAATAGCCCTATCATCATAATCTACAACTTTTTTATTTATGAAAAGTCACAGGATTGTGACGTTTTCAATCTGAATCGACATCCTTTGTCTATTTATTTTGGTGCTAAAAACTCATGAGCAACCATTTGCTTTCCATTTGAATCGTTAGATAATTTGATCATAAATTCAAGAATAAAGGTGGCCTTAAAAAATATTAGGCCATTTGACAAACCCCAATATTTTTGGGGTTTACCTACACCCTCAACATGTCAAAATAGCTAGTTCATATAGGTCAAATGTCCTTTTTTCTTTGATTTTGTGAACAAATTATCTTACGATTCAAGAGGAAATAAAATGGGTATTTATGAGTTTTTAATTTAGAATATTTCGTGTATGTCACCATCCCGTGGCTCAGCCTGTAGTTGGCCTTGTTTACATCATCAGGTGATGTCTTATTGTCTCCTGCGTTTCACTTATTTTATTATTGGCTGGTACCATTTGTTACAGATCCTAGAGATAAGATGGTAACACTTAGTTTTAGTATTTACTCTTTTTATTAAAAATCTTAAAAATTACCTAAATTTGTTATTTTGTAATAAATCCTTTTATTGTGTTGTTATAATTATTGTTTATGTATCTGCAGGTGGGCCAGTGCAGGTGAAACAAGAAAACGAGTTGCTATTCCCAGATGAAGGTGAGAATTATGAAATGAAATGAAAAAATAATTTTATTCTGGGACTACTGTCCCCTAAGAATAATAACAGAGTTACGAATTTATGTATCTTAGTCTGACATAATAAAAATACCAACTAATTTATTGTTAATTTTTATTTCAATTGTGCAATGGATTGAAATTAAACATTGTATAAATGCAAGTAATTTTACATGTTAGCGGAAGTTTGAATGTGGAGTAGGTGTTGGGACAGGAGTTGTTTGAAGGAATTTGTGGAAGAGGATTGACGCATGGGGGTAGGAAGCGAGTTCCATAAGGAAGCAGCACGAATGACGAAGGATTTGCTGAAGGAGCAAGTTTTATGGGAGGGAATATATAAGTCTATAGGTTGAGACCTGGTATTGAGAGAGTGGATAGAGGAGCGCAGAGTAAGGAGTTCCAGGATGTAGGGAGGGTTTTTAGTTCTGAAGACTTGGAAAAGGAAAACACCAAGAAGGAATTGTCGTCGGGAAGTAGGATAAAGCTCTGATATGTTTATTATATGTTTTATTTTCATAAGATTTTGTTATAATCTTTTTTGATTTATATCGTACACACATATATATATATATATATATATATATATATATATATATATATATATACATCTATATTTTGTGAGATTAGTTTTCTCAAAGCCCCACGTTGAGCGCCATGTTGTAATTTAAACAAAGTAAACAAACAGTTTCTTAATCAAATAATATTTATTTCACACAATAATTAATTCCCAGGTTGGGTCTTGACAACTAACACACATTCCTCAAATACATAATCAAAGGCATACATTAATTATTTCGAATTGTCTATTTATATTTCACTCACCCTGTTCTGCAGTGAGTCTTCCTCGGTATTGTATCCAACTTCTACAACTTTCTCTTGTTCTTTTATTTTCTTGTCTTCGTCTAGTTGTAGACACTCACTATTTGTTAACTTATTTTCTCCTCTTCTTCCTCTTTACTAGCCAGCTGGCTACCTTCTGCCCCTCATATGGGACTTGCTTCCCCCACCATCTGTCATTCCTGTCAGTAGTTCATGACGTCACCACCTTCGCGGCACTATTCAAATTCACTATGTGATATTTACATTACAATATATATATATATATATATATATATATATATATATATATATATATATATAAAACGATAATTAATAAATATAAAAATTTTAAAAATTAAAATTGCAAGCGCTACCCAATTACTTCGGCCACTACCGCTCCGGTTCGATTCCTCCATGGAGACAATGTCCCTATCCAGAGATTCGCAGGTAGCTGAGCAACCCCTGTGCCTTACACCATAGCTCCTGTTCTTCACGGTGGGGGTTGGGCATAGGGCTACTAACCCTATCCTGGAAAAAACAATTTATTATGAAACCTAAACTAAGCCTCGGTAAATCGAACTGTCTAAATATGGTAACGGCTTTAGCTTTGAATCACGGACTATACATTGGATCTTGGAACGTTCATAGTTTATACAGACCAGGAGCCGCAAAAGCGGTTGTCAAGGAACTAAAAAGGTATAGCATACCGCTAACAGGGGGACAAATGAGTAACAGCCATTCAAGAGGTAAGATGGCTTAACCATTATCGACGGCCATACACTATTCTACTCTGTAAGAAACGATAAAAATGTGAAAGCCACCACGGGATTTATAGTTAGTTCAGTGACAAGGAAATCATTCATAAACTTCACTCTGATAAATGAAAGGATTAGTGTATTATTAGTTAAAGGTCGTTGGTTTAATATCACGATAATTAATGTGTATGCACCAACCGAAGATAAAGATGAAGAGGTGAAAGATGATTTCTATGATTAGTTGGAAAATATTGAGGACCAAGCTCATAGGCATGACATAAAATTAGTCATAGGTGACTTTAATGCATAGATAGGACGCAAAGTCACATTATTCAGTCCCATTATCAGAGGCTAAAGCCTTCACGAAAAAAGCAATGACAACGGAGTGGGATGTATCTGTCTGTCAGCAGCTAAAGGTCTAGTTGTCAGCAATACAATGTTCCAACACAAGGATATCCACAATTACACCTGGGTTAGTTCTATAGGAGCTGTGGCCATGTGGTTGTAGACAAGAGATATCAGAGCTCAATACAAGATGTAAGAAGCTATCGTGGAGCAGACTTATTCGGATCACTCACTGATTAGAATGAAACTATGACAGAGATTGGAGCAAATTCACACAACAGGGAATCGAATGGAAAAGAGGAGTTATGAAGTCCATAATTTGAGCTGAAAAATAAATTTGAACCCTTGGATTTGGTTAGCCTCACGGTAGACCAACACTGGGAGGAAATAGAAAAAGAACTAAAAGAAACAGCTAAGGAAGTGATCGGTATTCAGGAGGAACGAAAAGCTAAGATATGGTTCACAGATGCATGCCAAAAGACAGTAGAGGAATAAAGAAAAATGAAAGTCCTCTGCCTAACTACAACCTATCAAGTTGCTCAGGACAAGTAAACAGCTGCCAAGAAACAGGCAAACAAAATTTTAAGATCGGCAAAAGGCAATTCCTCAATGAATGTTTGCAAACCATTGAGGACAACTGGCAGGCTGGTCATATACGCAAATTCTACACAGACATTAGGAAAGAAATGGTAGGATATAAAGCGAGAAATATGTAAATGCGAGGATAAAATGGCATTCTAACGTCATCTAAAGAAAATATATTGAACATCTGAAAAGAAAATTTCCAGAAACTTTTCAATCACCAGTTCTTCATTCTAAAACAATTAATCCAAAAATGATGGGAAGTAGCTCAGGACTTAAAATTTGTCAATTTTAAAGCTGCCTATGATTTTGTGAACAGGAGCTGTCTTTGAAAAATCATGACTGAACTGGGAGTCCCCAGTAAGTTGGTGAGATTGACAAAGATGAGTACAAATGACCCCAAACGTAGAGTCCCACCACGACGATTACATAGCCAGTGGCGAGGAGTTCTGCTGAGATGATTTATATTCTATAGTGTGAAGCCATTAAAAAATTTTGTTTGTTGCAAAGCAATTTGCAGATAGAAAATTTAATTTTATGTCAGAATTTGATTTTTGGTTAATAAATAAAATTTGTTATTCTGTAATAAAACCTTTAATTTTTTTTTTTTTTTTTTTTTTTTTTTTATGAATATTGTTATTATGCAATAGAACTTTTTTTAAATTTTTTTATGAAAATTGTTTATTTATCTGTAGTTGGGCTTTCATTGTATTAGCTATTGTATATTTTATTTTTACTTCCATGTATTTGTTTATCACTTTTTTTTCTTGTTATCGTTGCTATTTCAGCAATTATACAATAACAGCCTTTTCAAATTTAGTAATAATTGAATTTTGTTTCAGTTCCCACAATATGTATCAAAGAAGAGGAAACACAGGAAGATTATAGTGGTAAGAAGAATATCGACTTTATATGACTGTTTAAAATTATTATCTAATTTCTATTTTCTAAGTCTAAAGTTATTTTTTCACTTTATGTACTGTTCCATTTTTAGGCGTATTAAATTAGTCACTTTTTAAATAGTTTTGTTCACTCTGGAAATCTCTTTAAACTTACAGTGGAAGGCTTGATCAGTGGGTCACAGATTTCAACCAAATTTTTTTCTTACATTCGATATTCGAAAAATATTGGACACTTATCTGGGTGTTCTTTCCAATGGGCAATTGTATATTTAAGGTTTACCTGAGATGTTACAGATGTTGAGATGTTTCACTTAGAACTGAGTTCTAAGTGAAACTCCTAGTTGAACACACCTCCCTGATGAAGACCTGCAAAGTCGGGTCGAAACGTTGGCTTTTAATAAAATAGTTTTACCACTATTTAGCCTATTTATGACCGCAACCCCGGACCATCTCCTTCCTTTATAATGCAACGGTCAACTATTAAATATTCAATGTAATCATAAAACTTCCCATGAATCCTTAGCACACAGAAACGTGGGTTTTCAGTCTTAAAGCCAATGACCAGTTGCCTATATTGCCCTCTAACATCAAATCCTACTCCATATTCATGGAAGGTATCACTGCGGTTATAATAATATGTATGGTGTGATATCTATTTTCAAATAATATATGGTGTGAGATGGAGGAGAATTTCAAATAATATATGGTGTGACATCTATTTTCAAGAGTATAATAGTTTATGATCTATTATATTTAAATGTCAGAATGCATAGCAAACATCATCTTTTTTTTTTTTGCTTTAAGATTTTAAACAAAATCCTAGTTTATAAAAGCCTACTTCTTATCTACACATGCCAATCTTGAATAGCTAACCTGATAGCTGTGATAACTAGAGTCTGGGAAGAAAATCATCGGGTCTTATACCGTCAACACTCAGTCTCCCCTTCCTCTTCTCAATTTATTCAATTGTTGCCGTCCTGACGTCGAAGTTAAATAAGTTTACTAACTTACGGAAATTGAATTCAGTGGAAATAGAATGAAATTTGTTTAAAATGGAGGAATAAATTTACACTACTATCTTTCTCAATGATATAATCATTTCTCATAGTTCTTAGTAAATTTCTACTATGTATAAGCTAACAATACCTAATGAGTGTTCCTACGAAAAATTCTCCCCAAAAATAATTCATATTTTTTAATTAAATAATTCAAATTTCTAATTTGAGGGCCTGCTTGTTGATTAATATTTACTAAGAATTACCAGAAATTATCACATTATTGAGAAAAATAGTAGAATAAATCTATCATTTCATTTTGGAAAAAAAAACATTCCATTTCCATCCCCACATTATTACAGTAAGGCTCAAAATCGGTTTTGTACCAAATATAAGTTCCTGTCATGCTCAAATACCATGAATGGGGTACCGTTGGATTCAGAATTTCACGGGAGGTTAGCGAATCGTATTCTCCACTTTTGTTTTTCTTTTTAAAATAAATAAAGTCGATACAATCATTTTGCTAGGCTTCAATACTGGAACGGTGGTAGGTCTGTAGATCGATATGGGACAAATTGGACCTTGAACATTTTGATGCGTACAGCAAGACGCGGATAGTTCCTCTGGAACTATCAGATCCTGCCTTTTTAAGCCCAAAAACGTACTATTTTCGAGATAACGCAAGGTATGGGGTTCGCATCCACACAACCTGACGTTAATTGTAGTACTGTCATTGGATACATGTCTCATTTCGTCGACTTGAGGCCTCTATGATCGAGACAGGAGGAGTTTATATTATTTATCGATGGTGTTTTTGATCGGCAAGCCATATCATCGTTAATTCTTCACCAAATCTCAAGATTGAGCCACCAATTTCGAAGGCTTCCTTCTCCTTCAGAGGGGCAAAATAGTCCAATCACCCCGAAAATTCAGGCAAACAAGTTCTGAAAGAAAAGAAACTTTATTTGCGAATAACTAAACAATTACACTGTTTTTCCTTGGTTATTCCCATGATTATATAAAACATTACTAAATTGTTTACAAAAGGGAAAAAAAAATCATCGAAATCGGACAATTTTTTACAAAGACACAGCTTATTGAAATTTGTAAATATATTGGTTCTAAACATTAATGAAGATTTAAATTAATTTTGTTCCCTTTGTCGATTATATTTATCGATAAAGTAACAATTGATTCCTTTATTTTTTGATACGTTGCATTATTTTCTTTTCTTATTAATTTGGCATTTGATAACAATATGCTGTGCGAATTTTTCGCACGGGCCTACTAGTTTAATTCAGTTTCCGTAAGTTAGCAAACCTATTTCACTTCAATCTCTGGAGGGGAAAAGTTGAATAAACTGAGAAGAGTGGAACGAGACCGAACCTTGACGGTATAAGCTGACCAGAGCCGATATTGCTGCTCCTTAAAAATATTTTTATGCCTGGGCTCTACTGCTGTGGCGCTGGCAGGTGTGAACTATGTTGAAATAAAATAGAAGAATAAATTATTAAAAAAAATTTTTCCAGATTATTTTATTGAGATTTCCTTATTAAATTTGTTTGAAGCAAGTGTAATGAAATATTTTCTTTTGTTGCCTTGTCTTCATTATTATTTTCATGTTTGCAGACGGATTAACTTCTATACAACTGAAACAAGAAGAACTGCTCCTTCCGGACGAAGGTGAGTTATATTAATACTTTTATTAAACTTGGAGCAGTGAACTAGTGTTCCGTGAATGGTGTTCTATATTTTTGCCTATTTGCGCCTCTGCTCAGCCTCCATTGGTCCTTAATACCAGTAATGCGGCTGAGTGAGACGACGTAGTGAGATCTCTTAGAGTCCTGCCTTTCCTTCCATTAGTGGAGGGAAAGGCTTGGTTCATGAATGAATTTTGTAAATATTATATAAAAGCATGTGTATATTTAAGTAGTTAGTTATTTTGATTAGTTTAGTTTAGTTGCTTTTATTTTATATACATTATTTACTTTTAGTATTATTATTTTGCTGTTTATCGATTTACGTAGGGTGAATGAAATTCTCTTCTGTCACTATTACTATTATCCTTAGATGTGACAGATTTTAATATATCTGAATAAAGCATTTTTAAAAAATATTTTTGCCTATTTAGTTGTGCCTGTTTTATCATTTGCCATTGTACAATAATGGGTGCGGTAGATGTAATATGATCGAGAGCTCTTTTCTTGCCTGATTAAAATAAAATTCTTAAATATTTGTGAAGAATATTTATGAATAATTCAAATTGTTAATCGCGTTAATTTTGTTTATTGATTTCAACTGTTATCCCTGAAAGAGCAGTAGGTTTTATTGTGTTGGCGAGAATCGTTAAATATAATTATAATATATGTAAGGGGTCTGGTCTCGTTACAATGAAATAGTGTCCTTGTCTGTTTTAATAGTGTCCTTATTCCTCTAAAACCATCGTCGCCGCCTCCTCCATTTCTAGCCAGTAAAGCTGTAGAAAATCCGTTATGAAGGATAAAAGAAATTCAAGTTGGAATCCTTCTTGGCCAGAATAGCCATAGAGCTTTTATCTTGATGGCAGCAGGTGAATAAGTGGGATGAGCAGAGGGGATAAGCGCTTATCCTGTACCTGGACTTTAGACTTGGAAATAACACCATCAATGAAGGTGATTAAAAACAAGTGAGACCATGGGGGCTCCCACAGCGTACAAATGAATTAAAAAATATACAATAGATTATATATGAGAAGGAGTATGAGAGTAGGGACTTCAGCCCGAAAGCCCCCCCAGTAGATCCGCCTGTGTATCCTTCAACTATACACCTTATTATTATCTTCATGCAGCCTACTATTCCATTACCGCTTTCGAAAAACTGAATGTCAATTGTCATCTATATATAGTACAACTTGTTTTTGTTTTTTTATCATCATAATCTTGTTTTACATTTATACTTACATTCTAAAGTTGTCTTTTTAAATTATTGTTTTCTTATAGAGTTATTTATACTTAATAATCTATCCTAACGATATTACACTAATGTTACCCTATTAACCTTTCAATTTCTTTACTTCTTAACCTTTAGTCCCGTTATCTGTTTTACCTGCAATCAAATGTAACCTCCACCAGCTTGTTATCCACTGATATCTTATTATTATGTTATCTTATTCTTATTTTAACTTTACTATAACAATACTTATTCAATTTTCAATCTATTTATTCGTTAACAGTCATTTTCTCTATCTGTTAACCCACAGTTATCTAATGTAATCTCTATTAGTTTGTTATACACTTATCTTTTATCGCAATCTGTTTACTTTTAACTTACATGCTATATTCTCCTTTATTTTTATTTTTATTCATACTTATTTTCAATTTGTTTGTATCTTTTACATATATAATACTTTATTTTAACTACATTGTCACCCACTATATCTCTGATATCATGTTTTTATTTCTGTATCTGACAACTTCTTCTTATTTTATATCTATTTATATATTTTTTTTATTTTCAACATGTTTTGTATCTTTTGTAGCCCTGAAGACGACCTGCAAAGTGGGTCCATTTCCATCTTTGTTAGTTATAAAAATTTAAAATAAATTTTTCCTCTGTAAGATAATGTAATGTTTCTTATGTTTGTTTTTTTCATGATAAAAGTAGTTTTTTTTGTTGTCATAAGTGAAGTTAAGCACGTTCCCACCAACAGATTTTGATATAGTTATACCATCAACCATCAATTTATATTTTATTTTGTTTACTTTTTTTAGATTTAAATGATTGGGATGTTTCTACAAAGGAAGAAACGACTGTTAAAATGGAATATACTTGTAAGTTTTTCCTTTTTAAATTTCATAATTATTATATAATCATACTTAAATGTGTTTTTGCTTTCCATAGGTTTTATAAAGTATTTAATTTTTTTTTATTCTTAATTTTTTTTTTTTTACAACATGTCGACATTTGTTATGCCTAAAAGTTTTGGTTTAGCTAGTATCCTTCTTGAAGACCTCTGGCAGCCATGTCTTCCTCCACATCCTATAACCATCTCCTCCTAGGCCATCCTCTTCTTAACTTATTGATTCCTCCTATAATTATTCCTCTTATTCGCCTTATTAACTTATCGGTTGATTTAGACCATTGTCTCTCTGGCATTTTTTGTAATTGACCATACTATTTTAACCTTTGTCTCTATGTTATATAACACTGTTTTTTCTCGCTGAACATCTTGCTTAATAGTTTTGTTGGGAACACGTTGGAGTCTGGAAATGGCAGAACAGCTTCCCCAGAAGTCCATGTCCGATTATAATAACCTTATCTCTTCTTTTTTAATGATCACCAACGTTACAGATCCAATTAGACTGATGCTTTCCAAAAAGGAATGGAATAGTATAGTCTTTTAAAGCTAACCTGTTTATTCCACAACTCAGAATTTAGAGTTCAAATTATCCGCTTTCCTCTTATAATTTTTTCCATGATGTCCTTAGAGAAACTTTCCATCCTTAGCTGCCCATTTACCAAGATATTTCAATTCTTTCCAAACCAAATAAATAGTATAAAATGTATTAGCTCTTGAGAAATAGTTAGTCCAAATAATATTTGCATAATATAATTAATCTGAACTAAATTAAAAATAACCTTGATAAAAGTAATAGTAAAAAATATGAACTAATAATAGAAACTAGGTAATGAATAAATCAAAACTATGAAACTTGTTCAATAAAACATAACAATACAAGTTAATTTTTTTTTTTAACATAACCATATAAAAACTAATTAGAAAAATAAGTTTGAACCGTTCGTACCACGTAATAAACTATTTAATGACTTTATCTATCTGATGACTCAGATCTTTGTAAAATTTATGATAATCTTTAGGAATCACGGATTTCAGATCTTGTAAATGTATTTTTCTGTTTATTATTTTCACCTGGGCACTATACAGCCTTTTAATCTGTTCTTGCGCTGCCTAGTTTTCAAGCAAAGTCCAGTCGTCTTCAAATAAAAGTTTGTATAATACTTGACCTGAAGACGGGTATTTGATAGCACGTCATTTACTTTTGGGTCTCCAACAGTATGGCCGGGTCAGATGGAGTTCATAGGCCCCAATTTGGAGTAGTCCATGGAAGTTTCATGATGAATGTAGTCTACTTCTTAATAACTTCTAAATAGTCAGCTGGTGTGTAGATTACTTTGTTCCTAAGTTTTCTCTCAACAAGCGCAGGGATGGAGTCACACTCTATCTGAGTATGCCCAACCTCGAGGTATTTCTGTATTATATTTATATTGCGTTCACTACTCAATTTTAGAAGAGCACTAAATAAATTATGTTTCTTATTCTGATGCATCATTCCAGAGTATCACATCCTGATCTTTCGATAAACCTATAGCTATCTGATGAATGTAGTTCACAATGAGAGTAGCAAAGTCATTAGATGTGATTCCATTCCCCTCTCACCTTCATGTCAGACATAACATAGTACATGATGATATTTGTTATTAAAATATTTGAAGTTGTGTTCGCACAATATCATTTTATAGTTGAGAGAGGAGCATAGAATCCTGTGGGAGATAAGAGTACCCCTTGCTGGTCTATCGTAGCTATGAAATTAGTTCCTTTTGTATCCTCCTCTTTTTCTTTTCTTGTGCCAGTCTTTCGACTCTGATACACTTCAAAATCTTTAAGCGAATAATTTCCTTCTTTATAGCCCACACAAATATTACATTAGTGTTTTTGAGGGATATAAATTGAGAGCTTTTGTTTGTTATATTCTTCATTGAATTTTGAGAACAAAAGTGCCCCTGGTCTGCCTGTTTCTATAACTTCAGCCTTTTGTCGATTTTGTCGACAGTTGTGGGACTCCATCCATGGCAAAGACTTCAGGAAATTCTTCATTAAAATGAAAATATATTTTATTATTCTGGGACTGTTGTCCCTTTAGAACAAATTGTAATTACAGAATGCATGTCTGTGTGGTCATAAATAAATTAAATATTTACAATAATAGTTAATTAAAAGTAAAAATACAGAAGAAGAGAGAGAAAAATACAAGAAAAGTGTACATATATATAAGACAAACAAAGGAAACTGAAATAGTCTCTGGTGATACTTAAATAGTTCTCTTAGGTATATTTCGTAATAGGAATAGGTGTTCAAAGAGGAGAGGTTTGAAAGAGGAAACTGATAAGAACAATGCAATAGTTTTTTAAACAATTTCATTAAGTGGATTTATTGGATTTTATATACTTTTTTGTCAAGCTTTTTTTTTTTTTTTATTTATTCATGATGTTTACAACTGTATTAATAAATAAAATACATTTAATAAATTTGATAACAGAAAATAATAATAATCACTTGTTGAGAAACTACCCACTGGTAGCACTCTAAAAACAAAATGTATTTACAATAAGAGATCTCGAGACCATCTTCTTTTCAGACGCCTCGGAGGGTTATCAGGAATAGAAGAGGATTGGTATCTGGATTGGGCCAAATTGGAAACATAAGGAACATTAAGGTCATTATGGATTATTTTATTGGTGACAAAGTAAGGAGCATTGAGGATTTTCCGAAGGATTTTGGATTGTAAGGATTGGATACGAGAGAAATTCGATGGCTTAGTGGAGCCCCAAAGCTCAACTCCGTAAGTCCAAATAGGTCTTATTGTAGTCATGTATATAAGTCTTTTGTAATTAACTGGAAGCTTAGAGCGTCTAGTAAGTGTTGGAGTAGTCGGAAATGTCAAGCGGTTTCTTGTCGTTTCAGTCTGGTATGAGGATTCCAAGTTAGACATTTGTCCAAGTGAAGTCCTAGGTATCTGATTTGTTCAACAGGGATAAGTGGGGTATTATTAAAGGATACTGTGGGACATGAGGTCATAGGTTTACGTCTTTGTCAAGCTTAAAATAAATTTTAGAAATTCCTACAGAGATTTCATTCAGTTTCCATAGATACATTTATTTTCCATAAAATTATGTATTATGAACTAAAACAATCAGTCATTAGTTTTTTGTCTCTCTTCAATAACTTCTTGGAATTAATACATTAGATTTTAGGTGTGAATTTGTAAGATAGGGTATCAGAGAATTTTATTTAAGGTTGGGAAGAGTCAGGGAATCCGACTGGCTGACTCTTATAGATACCCTTTAAAGAAAATTAAAAAAATATCTGGTAAACTGTGTAGATGATTCTCCCATTTGCATCGATTAACTTGCATAAATATGTAGTCAGTGAATAAAAGAGGTATAGAGGGAGCGCAGGGACCTAGGTGATTCCTTCAGAAATTTGTCTCAGGGTGCTTAGGGTACGAACATGTCTAGGTCTAACATGAACCTGATGTCTAGGTGGTGAGACGGGGGAAGGAAAGGTCACAACTTTTGGATTTTCACTTATATCTCAAAAACTGTGTTTTTGAAACAACTAGTGTGTAAAAATGTTTCAAATAATAAATAAAAGTTTATAATAAAATCACCTAAAACTTTAATTCTATAGGTTTTATTCAAATCGTAAACTGTTTTCGAGCTACACGGTCGGAAAAATATGACATTTTCGAAAATAAATCATTTTGTCTCACATTTTTTCATATCGTCTAAGCGAAGGGGTCTCCAAACTGCAGTCCGTCGGCTGGATTTGGTCAGCAAACACCTTCAATCCGGCCAGGGAAAGTTTCTTGGATTACATTTCATAAAAATTTTCTTTAAAATAACATTGCAGAAAAACTATTTAAGAATATGAAACTTTCACTTACTTATATATGTAATATAAGTAAGTTCATTATTGTCAATATTATCAATATTGTCATTATCGTCAATATTATATTATTGTCATCATTATCAATATTTCATTATTGTTGGGCATTTATCTACAAACGATGCTTCGTTTTTAACATTAGTTTCAACGAATCAAATAAATTGACTTTAGCGGTATTTTTATTGCCAAAACCAATTATTTTTTAATATTTTTGCATGTTTTACTATTTTACTAACTGACAGTTATGACAAAATTTTAAAGTTTCCGCTCCGTAAATTATTATTTTAAAAAATCCCAAACAAACATGCATAATGTTTGGTTTTTGATTAATTATTTGTTTTTATAGGTGACGTAGCTCAAATTTTTAAATTGAATATTAAAGCACACACAATTTAGTATAGCAAACATATTTTTCGCTAAAAAGAAATTAATGTTTTGAAATTTGGAAAAAACATTTAATTTTATTTTTACTGTTTTCCACATATTTTAATGAAATTAGTCTTCAACAATTACTTTTTTTCTTGTTATTTTTAAATGAACTTTATTCTAACACATTTTTTAATAATTAATATTATCCAAATTACATCTCTTTGTGTTCTTACAGATTATTATCATCTGAAGACTGTTCGATTTCTTCACGAAAAATTGTTTTAGTCAATTAAATTATTGTATTCATGTGTGTTTGTTAATACAATCAAAATGTACAAAACGTTATTATAACACTATAATCATACCGTTTATGAGTATTGAATGATGTGGCAGAGAACTCGAGGCGCCTATACCAGTGCCGCTTTTCCGTTGATTAAGTTTATTTTCTAAGTAACTGCTTCAAATATTTTAAAAAGTAATCAGTGTTTTTAAAAGAGAAATGTATTCTCCAGATGTTTTAATTTTGGGGCATTTTTCATTATTGTTGGCCGTTATTTACAAACAACTCTTGATTTTCAACTTTAGTTTGAACGACTTGAAAAAATCAACTTTACTGGTGTTTTTTATTGCCAAGATCTATTATTTCTCAATATTTTTTCATGTTTTATTATTCTCTAACTATTCAGCTTTCATGAAATACCTATTATGACGAAA